TGGAAACATGAACTACGAGGAGGCACCCAGACAAGCCGTCCGCAAGCTCGAACACTACGTTCGCGAGATGGCCGAGGGTGGCAAGATTTCCGAGTACGGAAACAGAACCAAGGTCCAGAACGACCTGCAGCGTGTCTACAAGCTCATCCGCCAACAGCACAAGCTCACCAAGTCATCGCAATTGCAAATCAAGCAGCTCTACAGCAACATCATTCGTTCGCTGTCGATGAACGAGGGCCAGATCATGCCTACCGAGAGCGGCAAGAAGGGTCGCAAGGGTCGCGCCAACCAGCTGAAGCCTGGCAAGATCGAGACCATCCCCTTCCTGCACTTGAAGCGCAAGGAAGAGCACGGCTGGGAATACAGCAAGAAGCTCACTGGTGTTTACCTCGAGGGTCTCGAGGAGGCTGCCAAGTCCGGTGTCACATTCCAGGGCAGACACGCTCTGATGACCGGTGCCGGTGCTGGTTCTATTGGTGCTGAGGTTCTCCAAGGCCTGATCAGCGGTGGTGCTAAGGTCGTTGTTACTACGAGTCGCTTTTCTCGCGAAGTCACCGAGTACTACCAGTCTATGTACACCCGCTACGGTGCCAAGGGCTCCCAGCTCATCGTTGTACCTTTCAACCAAGGAAGTCAGCAAGACGTCAACGCTCTCGTTGACTACATTTACGACGAGAAGAAGGGTCTCGGATGGGATCTTGACTACATTGTTCCTTTCGCTGCCATCCCCGAGAACGGTCGCGAGATTGACAACATCGATTCCAAGTCTGAGTTGGCTCACAGAATCATGTTGACCAACTTGCTCAGAATGCTTGGTGGTGTCAAGGCACAGAAGGCCGCTCGTGGCTTTGAGACCCGCCCTGCTCAGGTCATCCTTCCTCTCTCCCCCAATCACGGTACCTTCGGTAACGATGGTCTCTACTCCGAGTCCAAGCTTGCTCTTGAGACTCTGTTCAACAGATGGCACTCTGAGAGCTGGGGCTCATACCTCACCATCTGCGGTGCAGTCATTGGCTGGACCCGTGGTACTGGTCTCATGGGCGGCAACAACATTGTCGCTGAGGGTGTTGAGAAGACCGGCGCTCGTACTTTCTCTCAGCAAGAGATGGCTTTCAACATTCTGGGTCTCATGGGTCCTGCTATTGTCGACCTGTGCCAGGAAGAGCCTGTCTTCGCCGATCTCAACGGTGGTTTGCAGTTCCTTCCCAACCTCAAGGACTTGATGACCAAGCTTCGCAAGGACGTCACCGAGACCAGCGAGATCCGCAAGGCTGTCACTCGCGAGACTTCGGTTGAGAACAAGATCGTCCACGGTGAGAGCCACGAGGCTCTGTACAAGAAGGTCACCGTCCAGCCTCGTGCCAACTTGAAATTCGACTTCCCCAAGGTTCCTGATTGGGAGTCCGAGGTCAAGCCGCTCAACGAGAACCTCAAGGGTATGGTAGATCTCGAGAAGGTCGTCGTTGTCACTGGTTTCTCCGAAGTCGGTCCCTGGGGTAACTCAAGAACCCGTTGGGAGATGGAAGCCTATGGCGAGTTCTCTCTCGAGGGTTGTGTTGAGATGGCCTGGATTATGGGTCTGATCAAGAACCACAACGGTCCCCTCAAGGGCAAGACCTACGCTGGTTGGGTTGATGCCAAGACCGGTGAGCCCATCGATGACAAGGATGTCAAGTCCAAGTTCGAGAAGCACATCCTTGACCACTCTGGTATTCGTCTTATCGAGCCTGAGCTCTTCAACGGATACGACCCCAACAAGAAGCAGCTTCTGCAGGAGATTCAGATTCAGGAGGACCTCGACCCCTTCGAGACTTCCAAGGAGACTGCCGAGGAGTTCAGACGCCAGCATGGCGAGAAGGTCGAGATCTTCGAGATCCCCGAGTCTGGCGAATACCAGGTCAGACTGAGAAAGGGCGCAACTCTTCTCATCCCCAAGGCCCTCAGATTCGACCGTCTTGTTGCTGGTCAGATTCCTACTGGCTGGGACGCCCGCAAGTACGGTGTTCCCGAGGACATCATTGGCCAAGTCGATCCCGTCACCCTTTACGTGCTCGTCTCCACCGCCGAAGCCCTCCTGTCTTCCGGTATCACTGACCCCTACGAGTTCTACAAGTACGTCCACATTTCGGAAGTCGGTAACTGTATCGGTTCCGGTATTGGTGGTACCACCGCTCTCCGTGGCATGTACAAAGATCGCTTCTTGGACAAGCCTCTTCAGAAGGATATTCTCCAGGAGTCCTTCATCAACACCATGTCCGCTTGGGTTAACATGTTGTTGATGTCCTCCACTGGTCCTATCAAGACTCCCGTCGGTGCTTGCGCTACTGCTGTTGAGTCTATTGACATTGGTTACGACACCATTGTCGAGGGCAAGGCCAGAATGTGCTTCGTCGGTGGTTTCGATGACTTCCAAGAGGAGGGCTCTTACGAGTTTGCCAACATGAAGGCTACCAGCAACGCCGAAGACGAGTTCGCTCACGGCCGTACTCCCAAGGAGATGTCCAGACCTACTACCACTACCAGAAACGGCTTCATGGAGTCTCAAGGTTGCGGTATGCAAGTCATCATGGATGCCAGACTTGCCCTCGACATGGGTGTTCCAATCTACGGTGTCCTTGGCTTCACCGCCACTGCCACTGACAAGATTGGTCGCTCCGTTCCCGCTCCTGGAAAGGGTGTCTTGACCACTGCTCGTGAAGATACCTCCAAGTTCACCTCTCCTCTGCTTGACATCAAGTACCGTAAGAGACAGATGGACGCCCGCAGAAGAAACATCAAGACATGGCAAGAGTCTGAGCTTATGTATCTGCAAGAGGAAGTTTCCGCCATGCAGGCCGAGAACTCCGAATTCGACGCCGCTGAGTACATGGAGGACAGAGCCAAGTTCATCGAGCGTGAAGCCAAGCGTCAAGAGAAGGATGCCCTTTACAGTCTCGGTAACAACTTCTGGAAGCAAGATCCTAAGATTGCTCCCCTCCGTGGTGCACTTGCTACCTGGGGCCTGACCATTGACGACCTCGACGTCGCCTCGTTCCACGGTACCTCAACTGTGGCCAACGACAAGAACGAGTCCGATGTCATTTGCCAGCAGATGGAGCACCTTGGTCGTAAGAAGGGTAACGCTCTCCTTGGTATCTTCCAGAAGTACCTCACCGGTCACCCCAAGGGTGCCGCCGGTGCCTGGATGTTCAACGGTTGTTTGCAGGTTCTCAACTCTGGTATCGTCCCTGGTAACCGCAACGCCGACAACGTCGACAAGATCATGGAGAAGTTCGACTACATTGTCTACCCCAGCAGAACCATTCAGACCGATGGCATCAAGGCTTTCTCAGTCACCTCCTTCGGTTTCGGTCAGAAGGGTGCTCAGGCAATTGGTATCCACCCCAAGTACTTGTTCGCTACTCTTGACCAGGCTGAGTTCCAGTCTTACAAGACCAAGGTCGAGGCCAGACAGAAGAAGGCTTACCGCTACTTCCACGACGGTCTCATCAACAACACCATGTTCCGTGCCAAGGACAAGTCTCCTTACGAGGATGACCAGATGAGCACTGTCTTCTTGAACCCCAGCGCTCGCGTTTCCCAGGACAAGAAGACTGCTCAGCTTACCTTCTCTGCCAAGCCCGAGAAGCCCGTCCGTGATGCCAACACCACCCAGATGGTCGAGTCATTGCTCAAGGTCAACTCTTCTGGCAACAGCAGCCCTGGTGTTGACGTTGAGAGCATTGATGCCGTCAACATCGAGAACGAGACCTTCATCGAGCGCAACTTCACCCAGCAGGAGATTGACTACTGCCGCAAGGCCCCTAACCCTCAGGCCAGCTTCACCGGCAAGTGGTCAGCCAAGGAGGCTGTCTTCAAGAGTTTCAAGGTCGCATCGCGCGGCGCTGGAGCTCCCCTCAAGGACATTGAGATTGTGAACGATGAGAGTGGTGCTCCCACCGTTGTTGTAAGTTCAACAATACTCATTACTGAAAGAAACATGCTAATGATTCAATAGCTTCACGGAGACGCCAAGTCTGCTGCTGAGCAGAAGGGCATCAAGAACACCACTGTCAGCATTAGCCACAGTGATGCTCAGGTCATTGCCGTTGCCATTTCTTCGCAATAGATGAAGGAAAACTCGCGTTGGTTCATGATATACAACACTTTACACGGTGTATGAAGGAGAGAGACGCACGATACACATCTTTGTAATTAGGCATTTGGGAGTTCTTGTCATCTGAGTTTTTGCAGGTAGAGCTCCACTCAGACTTTGTGTTTTCTGAATCCCTTACTGTATTGTACATTGTAACAACAGCTACTTCCCACTTCAATGTGGTGTTTTGCTTTTTCCCATATTTTTTCTCTTATCGCTTTCTGGCAACAAGGGTGTAAGATAAGGGCTTGGCCCATCAAGGTGGTTCGCTCCTTCCCGCCTCGTTCCGACGAACATGCAAGAACCGCTGGGGTTGTCTTGTCTTTGTGGCACGAAAGACAATCAACATGCATGCATCAGCTTTGGTTCAACAGTATGCCACGTCCCGCCGTTTTCAACCATCAAATCCTCCTCAACCTTGACAGATAGGACTTGATGGGCGCTTGTATTGATGTTGAGGTCCAGGATGAAGGGTGGGGTCCTGAGACCTACCTGCATGCACAGCTGCAAGAGAGCTGTCATGTTTCTCAGCTGTCATCACGCAACCTGCAGGCAGGGTCCACTGTGCAGATTCAACGGTGATGTGATGGCATGAACCCTGGCAAGTGTTACGTGGGTCGATATTGCGAGATATGGTATCTCTCAACCATACTGTACCCCTCACTCACAAGGAACGAGATACTCAGTAGCAGGAACCAAAGGTCACAAGAACTTCGACAAATGAGAAAGACGTAAAGATAAGAGTCTTGGATATGCTGCTTTCAGCCTACTCAGGGACTACTAACGAGACCGAATGCTGTCTCAAAGAAAAAGAAAAAACTCCTTTCCTGCCCCTTTGATCATCTCTCCGTTATACAATGGTTCATCAGTACTCGAGGGTGATTTCCTGGCCCTTTACTCGGCCAATCACAATGCCAGCGGCGTACTTGGGGATGACCTCGTCGTCGTGCAGCATCTCGAATTCTTCACTGGCGTCTCTGCCCATGTGACTGAAGAGAGCTTGAGGGCCACCGGGATGCTCTTCTACCCAGTCCGTCACGTTCATGACGACGCCCTTGACGGCGATCCAGAGATCTTCCTTCTTGTTGTGCTTGGCGACCTCCTCGAGGGTGTATTCTTGCTCGGGAACCTTGAACTCTTTAATGTCGTTGGGCTTTGAGACCTTGGCTGGGTCAGACGAGTCGGCGGTCTTGCCTTCTGGTGTCATGACTGGACCGGCAGATTGTTGTGATTGTCTCTGGATGGCCTCTTCGGCGCCTGAGGAAGCACCCACACCGTTTGCCCATTCTACGGAGATCTTGCCGGGTTGGTTGGGGTCGATGTGCAGACTGATTTGTCCCAGACGTTGGGCTGCTGCAGAGCCGCCGCCGTTCAGCACCTGTTGGAATAAGTACTTGCTTGCTGAGTCACCGGCAACACGACCGTAGACGACACATCCAAGCAGGGATGAACCACCAAGACGGTTTGAGCCGTGTACACCACCAGCGAGCTCACCACAGACGAAGAGACCGTCGAAAGGCTTGCCTTCCGAGTTCAGGCATTGTGCTTGATCGTTGATTTCGATACCGCCCATGGTGAAGTGGAGAACGGGCTCCATAACGGCAACGTGGAAGGTGTCGTCTACCTTGAAAGGCATGTTGTGGAAGTACTTCTTGCCCCAAGGATCCTTCTGCTTGCCATCTGCGATCTCATTGTAGTCGGTGAAGGTCTTCTCAAGGTCCTTTCTTGAGCAACCGATTTCCTTGATGAGTTCCTCGCCGCTCATCTTCTTCATCAAGCCACGACCAGAGTAGTGGCGAGTGTGGAAGTCAAGAGTGTTGGATGCTTTAGAGTTGAGAACAAGGCGGATAGGCCATGTGCCTGCCTCCTTCTCTTCCCACATCTTACCCGAAACGTAATCACGGTGACCAAGCTCGTCCGAGAAACGCTGACCTTTGCTGTTGAGGAGAAGACCACCTTCACCACGAAGAGCTAGGAATAGTCAGCACTGTATGTCTAATGGAGGTTTGCATATACATACCTTCAGCGGCCAAGAACTTCCACTTGGAGCCAGGGTCCTTGGGGTCGACCAGACCAGTAGGGTGAACTTGGACCTTGTCCATGTCGATGCCGTTGGCTCCGATCTGCATGAGCATCTTGTGGCCATCACCAGTAGCGTGAGCACCGTTGGTTGTAGCCAAACCAAAGGTATCAGGTCTCCACTTCTTCAGCAGCGAGTCATCTGTGAAGTCTGCGGCGTAACCTCCAGTTGCGAGAATGACAGGACCGTCGACTGTGACTTCCTCGCCGCCGAAGGTGTATGTGACACCAGTAACGTTGTTTCCATCCTTGTTGATCTTGGTGACCTTGGCCTTCTTGATGAGTGATACGCGTTCGGGCTCGGTTTCGGCGAGCTCCTCGAATCGTTGCATCAGGGCATATGTGATGGCCATACCAGGGAACTTGGCATCGTGGCCACGGTGAGTACGAGGGAATGAGTGACCTCTGTTACGGGTCAGTCTGTGATTCGAGATTGATGCTTCGGTATGCGCTTACCCGAGACGTGAAACCAAGGTCAAATCTAGGTTGAAGACATCTTGGAGCCACTCAACAGCACCAGCTGACTTGTAGGTCAAGACCTTGATGAGATCTGGACGAGCCTTGTCTCTGGCTGACTTCAGAGTGTCCTCGTAGAATTGCTTGACGCTGTCTTGGATACCGAGGTCGGTCTGTGTACGGGTGAGGGCACCGTTGATTCCGGAAGTGGCCTTGGTCGAGTTTCCTCCCATGAAGTCTATAGTTCACGTGTCAGCAAGGAAGATCGAGTTTGATGGCAGCGCAGCGTCTCACTGTTCTTGTCGAGCAGGACGACATTTCCACCGTTTAGATAAATAGTGTGAGCGGCACTCAGGCCAGAGACTACTTGCTGTCAGTACCAGGTTTTTTAGACACAGTTGGTGAGTTGCAGGACTCACGGCCAGCACCGACGACGATGACTCTTGCAGGCATGATGGTAAGAGACTGGGGTATCACAAATAACAAGGAAAGAAAGAGGAGAATGGAGAAGAAGGGGAAGTAGAAGCACGAGCAACGGACGAGGGCAAAGGGAGTTTAATGGACGGACTCGACCACATGCGCTAAATCGCACGTGTGGGGAAAAGGTATGGAGATATGGACCGAGGCAACGTCCCTTCGAGCCAAAAGGTTTGCCTTCCTGCCTCCTTGAGTTGATGATCTCCGTGAGCCAAATACCGCTGCTTTGATTGCATCGAGCCTCGGGAATTGATGGCCCACCGTCACTGAGATTCAACTGCTCTCAAAAGCAGTCAACTCACGATCCTTCACATGTGGAGCCAGTATCGGCAACGGAAACCACGATCTGCCCTTTGTTTCCTGTCAATTTGCAGTAGGAAGGCGCGAAACCAAGTCCGGGGTAGAGGGCGGGGTCAGCCAACTGTCGGCAACCTGACATGTGATTTTCCAAGGCTCGGATGACCTTTTCCTTGCAGCGAATCAGCACCCGTTGCTTACTTTCGCACACGTGATAGTGGTCTCATAGCATCTTTCATGTGCTCGTACTCCTGAAAATTGACCGAAGAACAAAAAGAGCATGTCGCAGGCATGTTTTTGAGAACAAAACCTCAGACCAATCAGCAAGCAGTGTATAAGCTCGCCGAAAGATAACCCGAGTAGACGGAGGTACTTGCGCCGAACATCACCAAGATCTGGAGATCAGACTTCGGCTCGACTCCATCTCTCAACCCTCGCCATAATATTCTGCCGGCATGCTGCTGCGGCTCCCCCGAACACCATGTGAAGTCTCCCGAGTATCCTCGAGGAGTTCGACCATATTCATAACCTCGCGATCGTTCTGGTCGCGGACCGCACCCGCCGCTGCACCCGTACCGACAGGCCCAGAAATCTATGATGTCGTGTGCGTTGGTGGCGGTCCAGCAGGACTGAGCTTGCTCAGCGCGCTTCGTAAGATCAGACGTAGTAGACAAAGCATAGAATTGAAATGCTGAGATTATGTAGGTGCTTGTCCCAAGACCGCGAACCTCAAGATTGCCCTAGTCGAGGGTCAAGACCTCAGCAAATCCCAAGTCCAGGCCGAATCGACGACCTTCTCCAACAGGTGTAGCTCTCTGACACCCGGTTCGGTCAAGTTCTTAAATGATACTGGAGCATGGAAGCACATTGCCACCTCCCGCGTCCAGCCGTATCAGGCTATGCAGGTCTGGGATGGCGTATCTGGCAGCAGCATCACATTTGATCCTATGTCGTCGTCGTCGTCTTCAAATGTCTCGGATACCGTAGCCACTATGACTGAGAACACGAACCTCACATCCGCCCTCCTAGCTCGCCTGAAATCGTTACCGCCGATCGATGTAATGGACAAGACACGTGTCGAGGGAATTGAGCTTGGAGAAGAAACAGAGAATATGGACTTGTCAAACTGGCCTGTCGTATCTCTGAACAACTCGCGCAAACTCGCTGCGCGTCTGCTTATCGGCGCCGATGGAGCGAACAGTCCTGTACGCACATTCGCTGGTATCCCCTCACGTGGCTGGGACTACAACCGTCACGGCGTTGTGGCTACTGTACAGATCGAAGGAGCCAACTGGAGTCAAGACGATCACAGAACTGCATACCAACGCTTCCTTCCCACTGGCCCCGTTGCGCTTTTGCCTCTGCCCGGCAATGTAGCCACTTTGGTGTGGTCCACTACACCCGAGAAGGCTGCTCTCCTGAAGTCGCTCAGCAGCACCGACTTCACCGCAATGGTCAACGCAGCTTTCAGACTGTTGCCTGTCGACCTCGACTACATGCACACCATGAAGTCTGGCCAAGCCGACGAGTACTCATGGCGTGAGGCCAACACAGCCTTCAATTCCGAGCGCATCCCGCAAAAGATCTCGGCCGTGCAAGAGGGCAGTGTTGCCTCGTTCCCTCTACGCATGCGTCATGCAGACACTTATACCGGTCACCGCGTTGCTCTGCTTGGAGATGCCGCCCACACTATCCATCCTCTCGCAGGCCAAGGTCTGAACCAAGGTCTTGGTGACGCGCAGTCGCTTGCCAAGCACATCAATTTTTCGCTCTCTGTCGGCAAGGATATTGGCAGCAACTGGGCACTGGATGCATACAATTCCGAGCAGTGGGCAAAGAATAACGCTATGCTGGGCGCTGTGGACAAGTTGCATAAGCTATACAGTGCTGGCAGTGGTCCAGTTGTGTGGGCAAGAAGCCTTGGACTCGACGCAGTCGACAAGATGGGCTTCCTTAAAAAGTTCTTCATGCGCCAAGCAGCTGGATCATAGACCCCAGTATGCTGTATCATACTCCATAGACCTTTTTATGAACGAACGTGTATTTCTAGATCCGCTGGCTGTCCCGATGGTGTAACTTCTGGCTCAACAAAACCTCAAGCAGTTGGGGAGGAGTACTCTTGAAGCGCGCGTTTCAGAGTGCATACTACTTTAGCGCTAGAACCCACCTGTAAAGAACCGATTCACCCCTGGTCCGACTTGGTCACTTGCCGCACTGTTGCAACTTCGCCTCCATCGACAGAGCTCGAGCTGTCTTGTAGAGAAGGCCACTTTCCCTACATCCTAGTCCTCCCCCTCCTTTTGCCATCGTTGAGAGCTTATGCTATGCCCGTGGTTCTGCTGACCAGACGCCGTTGCGAATCTGCTTCCATGACATGATGTCTAGCATACAGGATTGCAAGATCATAGCCTGACGCCGGGCATACTCATACCCTGATCTGCCTTTAGGTGGGTTCTCACAGCCTATAGGCCGTGTTAGTCAGTCGTGTGTGCTAACATATGAACTATCAGCCTTCCATACCCGCGTAATTCTTCTTAGAAGGTATGATGGCACTTGAGGAAAGGTGCATAGGCTCGAAGCAAACATCTACGCACTTACCGGAACATTGTAGGTGTGTCTATTTACTTTTGGGGTGATCCACAGATCGACTGCCATGATCGCCTCTATCAAGCTTCTTCTTACGGTCGACCAGCTCCTTCATGCTTTTCACATCTTCGTATCCTTGCGGCAAGGCGTCTTGCCAGTTCTCCTTTGGTATATAGCACGATTGGCAAAGATACTCTTCTGCTTCTTCTTTGGTGTTGTCCTTGCGTGATTTCCACCTAGATATGGTCAGCTTGCTGTTGTTTGCATATGACTTTGCAGAGCCCTTTCGACCAGCTGCATCGACACTTGCTGTATCGCATGTCGTGCACGCGATATACATACCACAATCTCAAGCCCCCACCCGGTGGTGAGCGATCACACCTAGCACATTGCCTGAAAACCTTTTCTGCAGAGACCATAGGTACGTGGGTTTTCCAAGGAAGTTCCTCTGGTTCCCAAGCATGACTGACCAAGCATTTATGAAGATTTACTCGAAACTTGAATCTGGGATCACCGGCGCGTGAACGAGCAGCGGCAAGACGTGTCCTTTCAAGGAACTGTTCAAGGACCTCGGGCTTCTGATCACGCATCTGTTCATGCCAGATTCTAGTCCGCAATCTCATGGCTTGCTTCGTCTGGTCGCGATGAAGGGGATTGTTGAGCGCTTGTCGCGCGATTACCTTCTCCCGATAGTCTGGGTCATTCTGATATCTTTGGCGCCGGCGCTCGTTATTCTTGTCCAATCTCTTCCTTCGCGCTTCTGGATCTTCAGGCGTTGCATATCTCGTCTGGCTTTGCGAGAAAAAGCGCCATGTTGTCGGAAGACACAAGGATGTCGACCCAAGAATGCCAACCTTGGAGACGACAAAGGCTCTCGACAGAAACGACAACATGGAAGGAGGGGCAGTGTGCCCAAGGATGAAGATGAATTGGTCCGTTGATATGGATAGGAGAGAAACAATAAGTAACGATAAAAGGACGAATCACAACACGTGCCACAAGTCAGCATGAGGGAAAGCGTCACAATTAAATCTCCAATATTCCTTCCTTTTTGTCCCAACTTCCACGCTTGCCCCGCCACAATCCACTCATCATCCAACCACTGTTGCATCCCACAAGCATCTCGAAGAAGTCACATCTAGCAATCGGCAACCACACGACTCCTGTAAACACAAACGTCTACCGCAACAATGGACAAGGACAACGCAAACCCCGCCATCCTCAACCCAGCGGACCTGCCCTCCCGCCGCGGCGCCTCCCAAAACCAAGCCGCCAACATCAGCAACAGCCTCTTCGACGGCCTGATCCCTTGCTACCCCCACTACGACAACCTGACCTCTGGCACTGCCTTCGCCGCCCCTCTGCCCTCAAACTCTTCCGACTCAGACGTCTCCTCCGACGACGACCTCCGCGAAGAAATCGACGAGCAAGAAATCTTCGACCTCATCAGCACAATCTCCGACCCGGAACATCCTTTGTCGCTGGGCTCGCTCGCTGTAGTGTCGCTTCCTGATATCTTCATCCTGCCTCCTTCGTCACCCAACTCCAAGATTTCAACTGTGAAAGTGTTGGTGACGCCGACGATTACTCATTGCTCGTTGGCTACGGTCATTGGGTTGGGTGTGAGGGTGAGGTTGGAGCAATCGCTGCCGCCGAGGTTTAGAGTCGATGTGAGGATCAAGGAGGGCACGCATGCCAGTGATGAGGCGACGAATAAGCAGTTGGGGGATAAGGAGAGAGTGGCGGCTGCTATGGAAAATGGCACTTTGGTGGGTGTGATCAAGAAGATGTTGAGCACTTGCGAGTAGAAGAGGCAAGAAATGGAAATAGGCGGTTAACGATTATAACGAAATGCATGGTTTGGTTATGCTTCTTTTCAATTCGTGGATACAAAGTATGCTTTCAATACATACGCGATCCTGGGAACGTATGAATCCCTGCAACAAAACAACGCCCCCCATCACCGTACCGAGTACAAAACGCCAAAAAGTTCTGTCGAAATATCGCTGTGAAACAGGAGCAGAGGAAGAAACCAGGAAAAAGAACCAAAGGAGAGAAAAGAAGGAAGCCGGGTATCTCTTTCGTATCAAAGCAGAAGTCAAGCCATCGTGTGACCGGCTCTCTACTGAGTATGTTGATTGTTGTTGGAATTGTTGTTCAGCGGCAACGAGGCACTGCTCCCCTCACCAGCACCCTCACTTCTAACCACGGGCAGCGCGTTCTGATTAGCAGCCACCTTGCTCGCACCCTGCGGAGGCTGATACACAGGCGGGGCCTCCCAATTGCCATACGCAGGTGGCGGAGGCTGGAACTCAGCGTTTCCATGGTTGCCCATATTTTGCATCGGGTAGCCTTGTTGAGGTGGATATGCAGGGTCGTGTTGTTGGTAGTATGCGTAGTTGTTTTGTTGAGGGTAGGGAGTGGCTCGGCGGCGGCGAGAGATGAGCCAACGGTGGTAGGCGAGTGGTGGTAGACCTTTGCGTATGCGGCGTTGAGCGTGGAAGTAAGCGCCGAAAAGCAGGAGGGCGATGGCGATGAAGATTAGTGCGATGATCGCGTAGCGGACTCCATAGCCGTCCTGTGTGATGACTATCAGTCCATATCTTCGAATCAGATTTCTGTTGTCAAACACGTACACTGCTCCACCACCAACTGTAGTCGTCGTTACAGTAGGGACCGTCAAAATCGCTACAGGCGCGCTTGGAGAGCCATTGCGGAGGTGCCATAGGGAAGATCGCGGATCAGAACGAATGTTGTTGGCGTGAGATCCAGTGGTTCAAGCCAGCGTGGAAAATGCTTCTGGAAACAAATGCTGGCTGTATTGCCTTGATGTTGTGTTTGCCCCAGGAATCTGCTGTTGACAGCAGCTTGACAGTTCGGATTTGCGGAGTCGAGGTTGTAGTAGTGTTAAAGCAGGAGCGTTTCGCGATAGAGTAAGCGCAGGGGCTGTGGCGAGTCACACAAAGGTTGCCTTCAACGCAGATGCGACCAAGGGGGTATTTGCTGTAAGATAGATAGACTCCTAAGAGGTAAGGAGAGAAGATACAAATGCAAAGGAGCAAACAAGAGCCGGTAGAGGCCGTATTTACGACCACCGTTACGTATGTCTGCGGCGCCACGCGCTGGCTTTCCATTGTTTTCCCTCCTGTCGTTCCCCAGGTGGCTGTGCTTTCCCGTGCGAGCAAGCTGCATGGCTGGAAATTTATATTGCTTTGCCAACCACCTTGATAAACAACGTACTTGCATTTTGTCCATCAGGATAGTATCGCTCGACTGCACTGAGGACAACATCTCTTGTTGAAAGATATGTAGGAAGACGGCTGCCAACATCGACCAATATAGAATAGGCGCGCGCCTCAGTTGGATTGCGCTTGAAATAGCACTCGTGGATGCACGTTCCCTTTCTGACTATTTGAGGCGCCCACGCAGGGAGCCGCTCACTATACTACGACTGTTATTTCAAAAACCCCTGCGCTTGGGCATAATGGGCTTTCTGACCGCGCCAACAGCGCTGACCTTTTTGACTGTAGGTTTCCGTACCTTCTTCTCTTCCTCTTCCTTGGCTCTAGCCGCTGCTTTTTCTCTGTCTATAGCCATCTGCTGCTCAATCTCTACCTTCTTGTTGAATTCTTGCTCGGTGGTGCGTTTAAGCTTGGTGTTGTAGCCTTTTTGCTTGACAGAGTAGAAGACCGCTCCTAGATCGGCCAACCAGGTAGCATCGACAGCAGTTACGCAAGACATGTATTCCTTAGAGGTAAGGATAAGTTCGTGGTATATGACATAGTCCGGCGGGTCGCCAGAGTTGTATAGCGCCGACGTGGGATGTAGCTGCATCGAGACAGAGGTGCGCAAGTTGAGGTACTCGCCCAATCCCTTGCGCTTGGCAGCTTGGTGATAGTAGCCCGAGCAGATACAGAGTCGCACAATCTCCATATCATAGCCACAGCTCACAAGCTCCATCTTGTTGCTGATCATGATATCGCGGATCTGATTGCGGATCTCCTCGGCTCTTCGCAATGCCTTTGGATGCAGGAAATGCGTCACACACCATCCATCACGTCGTCCATTGGCAGACCATTGTTGATATACATGCAACAGCGTCAAGTGGTCGGAAGACGAGTCAAAGAACTTTTCGCGTGCGGCATCGGCCTCTTCCATTCGCTCTTTAGGGCGGTAGAAGACAGATGGTACTGAAAGCATTGATACGATCGTCAAAATCTCCTCGCTGCAGCCGTAGTCGCATGAGGTTATGACGAGCTTGGCCATGGAGGGGTCCATTGGGAAAGAAGTCATCTGTCGGCCAAGCTCTGTAAGATCACCCAGGTTGTCCAAAGCACCTAACGCCCAGAGGTCGAACAGAGAAGTTGAGATCGTCTCTTGTGGTGGAGGATCCATGAAGTCAAAGTCCAGTAGATCCCTAACGCCAAGCGATTTTAATAGGAGAACGGTATTCGCTAGGTTAGTACGCTGGATCTCAGGAATAGTCTGGATGTAAAACTCGTCGCGGAAAGCACGTTCGGTGTATAGATGGAAAGCCTTTCCTGGGCCTGTTCTTCCGGCACGACCTGCTCGCTGCGATGCATTGGCCTGGGATATGGGGGTGATTTGTAGAGTATCCATACCCATGCGAGGGTTGTAAACCTTGAGCTTACTGAATCCCGAATCAACGACATACATGATACCGTCAACAGTCAGTGATGTTTCAGCGATATTGGTGGCGACAATGACCTTGCGAACACCCGGAGCAGCGCGGTCGAAAATCTTTGCTTGCAGATCAGCGGGCATCTGACTGTAGATTGGAAGGATGGATAACTTTGGCGGGTCGTTGAGTTGTTTTAGACGTTCGTCAATCAGCTCGCATGTGCACTCGATGTCTTCTTGGCCAGTCATGAAGACAAGAATATCTCCAGGGCCTTGGGAAACGTGGATGGCGAGGACCTGCCTCACAGCACTATCCACGTAATCCTCACAGGGACTTCTCGAGTATTGAATGTCGACTGGGAAGGTACGTCCAGGGATGAAGAATTCCGGGGCACCGCCATAGAATCGCGAGAAGCGGTCAGCGTTCATCGTGGCCGATGTGACAATCAGCTTCAGATCTCGCCTGCGAGCAAGCACCTTCTTGATCAGACCCATCAGAACATCGGTGTTCAATGCCCTCTCGTGGGCCTCGTCCATGATGATGCACGAGTACTTGTCGAGATCGGCTTCCACAAGAGACTCACGCAACAGCACACCATCCGTCATATATTTGATGGACGTTTCTTTGCTGGTGCAGTCTTCGAAACGGATAGCGTAACCGACTAGACCGCCCAGCTTGACCTCCATCTCTTCAGCGACACGCTTTGCGACACTCATGGCGGCGACACGACGAGGCTGGGTGCATCCGATTAAGCCGTGTTTCGCGTAGCCATCCTCGTACAGAAATTGCGTCAATTGCGTGGTTTTTCCAGAGCCGGTCTGACCAACAACAATGATGACTTGGTTGTCACGAATGACACGAAGCAGCTCTTCTCTTACGGCAAACGCGGGTAGGTACTCGCGCTGCTCTTTGAGTGTCTTGCTTCTGCTGAAGGCACTCTGGCCCTCACTCTGTTTCTTCATGTGATCTGCGAATTTGCTGCCTCCCTTCTCTTCCTGGCCAGCGGGCTCTGGGGCAGCACTATCGGTGTCCTCCTCTTTTACACCCATGACATTGCCCAGAGCAGTTCCAGCGACCTTTGTGGCTTCCTGGGCGGCCTTTGCTCGTTCTTTTTGTTGACGTCGTTCACTGACGACTTTACTGCCCTTGCGACTGAATACGGCCATATCGCTCTGAGGATCTCTAACAGCCGACACGGGTTCCAATTGCTTTGTGAAAACAGTTTTGCCATCCAGAAATGGGGGCTTCAGGTCGTGAACCAGCAAGTGGACTCTGGTACCGTCTTCGTCGTCCTCGAAACCAGTGTCCAGCTCTCTTCGTTGTGCAACACCAGAGGTAAGCATACGATTTGTTTCCCAGGCATCATTCTCGCGCTGTCTTTGCATGGCGCGAGGGTTTCCGCGGGCTCGTACGGCCATCTTCTTCTCCAATAGAGCAGCCTCGCGTTGCTGGTCCTCCCATGTGGCGTCATCTCCGAATGGGTTATGTGAGTCGTCACCGAGAGTTGCACCGCCTTCATCTCCTAGGTACCAATCACGATCCAGGGCGGTTTGATCTTGAGCATCGACTCCAGGCTCGGGGCCATCAAACTCTTGTTGGCGCGGCTTTGCTCCTTGCGACTGGCCATTTCGCGGACCATCTCGTTGGTGGGAAGAGTTGTGCTTTGAGGGTCTTATGGCAAAGTGACCATCATCTTCGGCGTCTCCATTGTCGTCTAGCCTGCGTCGTTTGTATGCAGACATTATGTGTAGTGAGGGATGTTTGATCGGTTCAAGACAAAAGAACGAGCTGTCCGTGACGCGATGGTCTGAACCTCTACAGAACAAGCGCTCTGGATGATAGAGAACAGCCAGAGTACTCTGCTGACCAGAATGGAGCAATTGCGAGCCCTGTCAACGTTCTTTAATCACTTGCGGCGACACGCTTGGCACTTCCGGACTCAGGTCTTCCCCGCGTTCATCGCGCCTCGAAAATTATCAAAGTTTCCAACGCGGGTGCTTTTTTTTCCTAAGAACATTCAGACATAACACACACAACATGTCGATGATTACAGCAACAACGTGGGTGCCGCGAGGATATGCGGCACCTTTTCCCACCAAATACACTTTCGACGAGGAGGAGTTCGAGCGCATCTCCAAGCTGGCCAAGCTGGAACTCGACGACGCAAAGGACGACCTCGCTGATGCTCAAGCCGAGCTGAACGGCGAGAAGGCTCCCAAGAAGGAAGAGAGCGACGACGAGGATGACGACGACACACATGCCACCGGCGCCGCGACACAAGATATCGACCTCCAGGACGACGACTTGAAGGAGTACGACCTGGAGAACTACGACAACGATGACGCCGCTGAGAACGAGCAAGGAGAAGGCGACGCCTCTTTGAGCATGTTCGGAAACGTACGCAACCTGGCCTTCCACGGCTCCAACGCCGAGGATCCCTACATCACCCTCAAGGAGGGCGAGGAATCCGACGACGAGGAGCGCGAGGAGATGCAGATCCTGCCCACCGACAACATGCTACTGGCCGCCCGCATCGAGGACGAGGTCGCTCATCTCGAGTGCTACGTCTACGAGGATGACGCCGACAATCTGTACGTCCACCACGACATCATGCTGCCCGCCATTCCGCTGGCCGTCGAATGGCTCAACATGCCCATCTCCAAGCCCGGCGAGCCCGTCCCCGAAGGCCAAAAGGCAAACTTTGTCGCCATCGCAACCATGGACCCGGACATTGAAATCTGGGACCTCGACACCATCGACTGCATGTACCCCAACGCCGTCCTCGGCCAAGGCACCGCAGAGATCTCAGCAGCGCCCACCATGCCCGGCCAGAAGAAAAAGAAGAAGAGAAAGAGCAAGCAGATCAACGACAAATACCACATCGACTCCGTCCTCGCCCTGTCCGCCAACCGCTTCCACCGCAACCTGCTCGCCTCAGCCTCTGCCGACTGCACCGTCAAGCTCTGGGACCTCAGCACCGGGCAATGCGCAAAATCCTACAACGACTTCCACACAGACAAGGTCTGCGCCCTGCACTTCCACCCCCACGAAGCACACTCCACCATCCTCCTGACCGGCTCCTACGACCGCACCGTGTGTGTCGCCGACCTGCGCGCCGCAGAGGGCACCAAGCCCAAGCGCTGGGGCGTCGACTCGGACGTCGAGCAAGTACGCTGGGACCCGCACAACGAGCACGTCTTTTACGTCTCCACCGAAAGCGGTATCCTGTATGCCTTTGACGCGCGCAACGCACCCTCCTCCCCCGAAAAGACCCAAGCCATCTGGCGCCTGCAGGCCCACGAGTCCGCAGTCTCCTCGTTCGCCCTTAACCCCACCGTACCTGGTTTCATCGCCACCGCATCCACAGACCGCACAGTCAAGCTCTGGAACGTCGACCAAGCCACCAACCAACCCTCGATGGTGGTATCCCGCGACCTAGGCGTCGGCCGTGTCTTCTCCACAAACTTTGCTCCCGACGACGCAGTGGCGTTCCGTCTTGCTGTCGCGGGATCAAAGGGCGCTGTGCAGGTCTGGGATACCAGTACCAACAGAGCTGTTCGCGAGGCGTTTGCCGGTCGCGTCAAGGGTATCGATGCTACAGAGGTCAAGGAGAGACTCGTGGCTGTTGCCAATGACGACGAGGCTAGTGATGATAGTGATGAGGATGAGGAGGAAAACGAGGATGAGGCTGGTGCCGATGAGCGCGGTTGGGAGAGCATGTCGGAGTAATTTTTTTTCCAGTTGCAGAAAAAGCGTGTCTTGGTAGAGTTTACCCATGAACAAACACATTCTTACCTACTTTCATACTTTTTACCATCACCTCTTTCGAACATTCGGAAATCTCAAGCATGGAATATACAAGACAGAGAGATGCTCGAGCAAGACACACGGTCAGGGTTGCACCTTCGACAAGCATTTTCGACGTCTCGACAACGTGCACCACCGCTATGTCCTTCCGCATGTCCCTTGTCTTGGCTATGTATACTCTTACTACTAATATCGCCTTATTAGAAGTCCACTAAGATAGGATGTTGTCGTGGAGACTGGGGATCACTAAAACTATTTTTTGAAAAGAAGCATTTCTGCAAACTGCTGACACATCTACAACAAAACCGCAAGCAGTTGGGGGACGAGCAGCTCGAAAGCATGCTTTATAGAGAGTACATGTTACTTTGGTGAATCCACCAGCAGAACCACCCTTAGTCCGACTTGATTGCTGCATTGTTCAAACTTCACCTCCACCGGACGAGGCTCGAGATATCAGGTAAATAAAGGCAGCTTTCCCTCCACTACCTACAACATCGCTTTCCTCCTTAGTCTGCGCCCCCCCCCCCTTCTGCCATCCCCTCGCTGTCTGCCACTTCGATTGGTGCTTGCATACTCGTACGAGGCTCATCGAAAACTCGGGCAATCACAGCTCATTTGCATCCTTGGAAGTTCAATGTTCATATTGTATTATTCGTACAAGTCCCATCGTGTCGTATCGTACAGTCTATCGAGGCCGTCAAGGCCGATCCTAATTCCAACCTTCCGTGCCATCCATCCATAATCATCCTGATGATGTGTGTACAATCTATAACCCATTGAAAACATGTGGAGAGAGAAAAAAAGAAACAACAAAGGAGAATCAAAGAGTCGGCTCATGAGCTTCACTCTCACTCGTCCTGACGTCTTCTTCTCGTGCTCAGTCTCTTCTTGAGACCGTCGCTTACTTTGCGCAAGCTGCTTGTTCGATTCACGGTGTGAGCGTCAGTGTCGGCCGCAGTTACCAGGTCTGCGTAGCGAGATGCGCCACCGGCAATCTCAACGGGGTCACGCTCGTCGAGCTTCTTCTTATCCTTCTGCTTGTCATAGTCGCTCATGAGCGGACGGTCCGACAGTTCGATGCCACGCTGACCGTCAAAGTCGCGCTCGTGGATGGTATGGGCCTTGAGTGCACGGTCGAGAGAGAATGCAGGCTCACCCACGCCCTCGAGATCGTCCTTGTGGTATTGCTGAGGATTGATCAGTATGACGCAAGAAGTAAATGTCATATGCAGGACTCACTTCTCCGGACCATCGCTTGTAGGCACCGCCTTCGGGGTTACCCTCACGCATCATGTCTGTTCCCTCCTCGTAGTGGTAGACACGGCCAAGCTGGTCACGTTCACCGGGAGGAACGACAGCGACGCCATCAAGAGGCTTGTGTTTCTCCAAAGCATCCTTGATCTTCTCGGCAGGGGTGGCCTTGAGAGCTTCTCTGTTAGAGTCCTCCAGGGCGGCGATGGGGCTGGACTTGTAGCTGGTGTTACGGGCCAGAAGAGCGGCATCGTAAGGGCCTTCGTGATGGTAGGGAAGCTTGTTGGGAGTAGGGTCAAGACGGTCGATCAAGTCAGCACCGGGGATATGGCGCTTGTTGAGGTGAGGAGCACGGTAAGCCTTCTTGCTGTCCTTTCTAAGCATGTTTAGAGGCTGATGGGACTCATCTCCCTGGTAGCGTTGACTGAGGGAGCTGGTTCTACGGGGACGGTTTCCAGATGCTTCGCCCAGACGATGTTCACCACTGAAGTTGCGACGGTGGGGCGAAGAGGGGCCCTCTTGGAAGTCTGGGAACTTGGAGTTGCTGCCGGTCGAGCTTCTGCTTGAGTGACGGACGTGTACCTGGGCACCCTTTCCGTTGTTCATTGAGTCACGGAAAGGGTTCTTTGACGACGAGGGAGAAGAAGCGACAGGTGACGCTACGGGAGATGCAGTCTTGGTGGCCGTGGGAGGGTAGAAGTGCGTGCCAGGGCCAGTCTCCTGTGATGGCTCGGGAGCATTGAGAGGATCAATGAGATAGGCCTGAGCCTGTGACATGAATAGTGAGTGGGGGTGTTCCTGGCTGGATACGAAGACAGAGCTCGGATCTTACCTCTTTTGCGCTGACACCTGCCATGATACACTCTGAGTTTCGGATTTTAGTTTGATCAACTGTCGTACAGCAGAATCAAGAAACAAGATGTTGGAAGGGAAGGTCAACAGGAACGGCGCAGGTACAAGGCAGGTTAAAATAAAAGACGGAGCCTTGGGCCGCTCCTTCCTTCTGCTCTTGTCGTCGGCATCACACACTTTTTGGCAGCGACGTCATGCCGCGCACGCACAGTGCACATGTCATTGGGGAGTCGTTTTTTCCCCAGACCCTCGACATCCGCCGACTTCCCAGTTCCACCGCTCGGTTGTCTATTGATCCGTCGATAGTGCACACAATGAACCTAGTCGGCTACTCGGATTCGGAGGACGAGGACGAGAACGACGAGCCCGTGGCCAAGCGACTTAAGAGAGAGGCAGACCAGAAAGACGACGACCTCCCACCGCTGCCGGCATCATTTCTGAATCTCTATTCGTCCAGCGTCCGCGTCAGCAATACTGACGATCCGTCTTTGCACCACGGCCGCAAACGCGTCGTCAAGCATGTCGAGGGAAATTGGCCCACCCATGTCTATCTAGAATGTAGGTTGGTCACTTCGCAATTTCCAACGGAGCTCAACCAGACTTACACAGCCTCACTCCACAGGGCTGCCATCCCCAGCTGAACATGACACACTGAACAGGCTGCTCAAAGCCTTGCCAGACTCGTCAAACGTGCACTCTCTACTGCAGACACCACTGCAAGTTCCGTTACCTTTGCACATCTCATTAAGTGCGCCATTAGTATTGCGTACCGAGAACAAAGACTCTTTCCTCGACACCATCACCCAGGGCTTGACTTCAGTGATTCGCTCGCTACGACATCCAATTACAGTACGCCCTGCATCACTCTCATGGCACGCCAACGACGACCAAAGTCGCTACTTTCTAGTCCTCCGCGTGCAAGACTCCCAACAAACAGACCCCAGCGCCCTAACCCTACTAAACCAACTCCTCAGCGCCAGCAACAAAGCAGCACTCCAATACAGCCAACCCCAACTCTACTCAAAACTCAAACGCCAAGCAGGGAGTTCCGACTTTTCACCATACTTTCACATCAGCATCGCTTGGTCATTGCCATCGCCGGATTGTAACTTGCAAGACGACGACCTCACATCGCAACCAGCTGTCGATGCTATCCTCGAGCAGCTGTGTGAGGATATGGTCGTGTCTTTTGATGCGGTCAAGATTCGCATAGGGCAGATCGTCACTGCTCTACCAATTGGAAGCAAGCAACCGCAGTCTTCCAGAACGAAGCGTGGTTTGTTCGGTTGACGCAGATCATAAACGTACTTGAACCTCTTCTAGAGTATTCGGTTTCTTCGCCTTGTAGCGCAGGGATGTAGAAGCATGCTGTACGCTCTTAACCGGCCTTCGTACTCTGGTAGGTTCATATCTGATGTTTCTGCGTGACGATCCATTCTGTAGCCAAGTCCTGTCGAGTCTAGAATGCTATGCACGGCGCTTTTGGCTTGACAGACACATGCCTACCAGCACCTAGCCAGCTACTGAGTTCGCGAGTTTCGCGAGTTTGGACGCACATGCATGTCGAGAGCACGTAAAGATCCAAGCGGCCGAGTCATTAAAGACGACCATCCAACCTCTACGTTACTGTTTATAGTTTCGTAACACCTCATAGCATTCATCATACCAGGACATCTTTGAATTGATATGTTCTCGTTTTCCATTTTTCTCTTTTTGCAAGCCTAAGTACAATACTCGTCCAAAGGACCCCCCATTTATACAAGGGAGAGAGCAAAAGAAGCAGGAAAAAAGCAAAGCTGTCCAGACGCTTGAAAAAAAAGAAACCTCCCTTCCCTGCTCACCTAGTCGTTGGAATCAGGCTTCGAGAAAGGCGCAAAACCCAACAAATGCAAATCCCCTGTCCCGTGAAGCAGAAGAATGTGAAAGCTAAAAGAACGCCTTGCAGTGTGCAGATAAGAACAAAGCAGAGAAACAAGGAGATAGCCATCATCATCCATCGCTTGGAGTTGCCGAGCTGATGGTCGTCAAAGATCAACTGAAGCAAGGCTAGATCCCATAAGTCAGGCAAGGCCGTGGCAAAGCATGTGATTTTGTTCGGTAGCGGTTGAAGACGCGTGAAACTGTGTTTGTGTTTGGCGCTCGAGTCTGGAGAGTGGGTACAAGGAAAGCTGTATTTCATATTTTTGTGGTTTGTGTTTCAAGTTCGGGCTGTGCTCTGTGGTTGTGAAGGAATTCTGATTACGCGTATCGCTCTGACGAGGCCGCGGTATGAGTTGCGATTCAATCAGAGATTCGAAGAGAAACGGCGTCTAATAGCAGTCGAGCATCATGGAGGTCATCACCGTCGTCTTCATAGTGGGCAGTGACTTCTAGTGCACTGGAGGCTGGTAGTTGATAGGGCGCCTGCGGTGATGTCAGTTTGATGGAGTTTCTGGGTGCGTTTAGATAAGACTCACTTGAAGAGCAGAATGTGCGGCTCGGGTTCGTGGACTTCGTAGTGTTCCCATCCCAGACTCTGTGATAACGATCAGTCTCTGCGTACCGACGCTGTAGTGTAAAATGGCACATACCTGAGTGATTCCCAGAGCTCTCCACTCATCCTCCCACAGCAGCTTGAGGGTGCCTCGCGAACCGTCAAAGTATTCCTTTGGTATCGCCTTGAGCATCTGCTTGGGCAGCTGGACGTGTCTGTACTCAAAGTGGTCGTCGGAGTATCTGCGCAAATCAGTATTGGTCGCGTGCAGATGGACGAAAGATCTTCTCACCTCGACGAGTAATGGATGCTCTCGATGAACTCGTCCAGGCGCTCGCGCTCAGAGTCGCTCAAAGGGCGCGGCTTCTTGTTGCGGCGTGTGGCGTCGATGTCCATGTTGGCCATTGTGTAGAGTTCGGGGTTTGTTTGGAGCTGGATGGCAGAGAGGATGGCTGGTCAAGAGCTTTTGGTAGATGCGATGACGGAAGCCGAGCGAGAGACAAGCGGTGTCTGTGGTGCAGCCCCTGATTCGCAATGTTTCTCGCAAACAGAGCTAAAGTGCGAAGGGACGAGTGACGGTGAGGATTGTGAAGTGCAAGATGCGCTGTCGGGTTGCGCGAGGGTTGTTATCAAACCGCAGCGGTCGAGCGGGGCAATGAAAACTGGCGCAACAATGGCTTGGAGGCAACAATAGGCAACGACGGCGATGCGATATGGCCGAGTTCAAAAGCACTTCTGGCGAATGTGTCTGGGGGTGATGACGAGATGCTTCCGCACGGTGGACGCAGATTTGGCAGGAGGGGAAGTGGTGGGAGAGAAAAGTATTGTTGTTGTTGATTGTTGACGTTCACACTTGCTGCTTTTGCGAGAAGGTCCCACTCTTGCTTGGTCCTAATCATCTGCAAAAGCCCTCTCTGCTTCCCACGCTTTCGGCTCCTTCCGTCGGATCCCTCTTAAACCTTCCCCTTCCGCCTCCACGCACCAGCTCGATCTGCATACATCTCACCTATTCCATGCCGAGGTATCCAAACAAAACACTTGCTCTCTTGGCCGGCTATCTGTCTGATTTTGAGTTGGCCCTTCTTATCGCCAGTCGACGAGATGCAACACCATCATCTCTGTTGATCACGCATAAAGCGGCTCTTCATGCCGGCCATCTCATCTCCTTCGGCATTTGCTGCAGCTTGTGTCAATTGCCTTGATTTTGTGCCTGGGGTTTCAAACTAGCTTTATACTGCATCTCGATTACTTGACTGCCACCTGCCTCTTCTACTCTTGCTATACCTCTTGACCGCCATCACTGATTCTTGACCGCTCAACACCCCTCGTTTTGACTTCGCCTGACACTCTGACATGTTGTCAACCATCGTCTCAATTGTGTCGGTCAAAAACGTGGTCGTAGCATGGCTTGCCTAAGCGAGCTGGTGTCAATAGTGTCGAATGGTGCCCGCCAAATCTCCGTGCTAATTGCAGTGCGATGGGTAGCCTGGGGCAGAAAATGAAGTCGAAGTCCGAGTCAGACCACCTTCAAATCATCACCGGGTATCGGAATTGGTCTGGTCTCTATCGAACTAGTCACCCGAGAAAGGGCTGCGATTCAAAGTGAGTTCTCATTTCGTCGCCAATCCTGATGGATGTACATTGCACAGAAGATCCATGTGAAGAAACATGTGAAGAAGCTTAGAAGTGCATTTGCTACATCTAGCTACGTAAGACACCGCACCACCTTTTCCCTGCGTGCTGTATGGCCTAGATTTTTGGTCATAAAATAAAAGAAGATAAAGAGTGAACGGGACGAAGGTTGTTGCCTTCTCCCAAGAAGACCGCCCGAGTATTTCATATCATCATAGCCCTTTTTTGGGAAATATCCATATCCCAAACGCCAGCAATACATCAGGGTCCCAGTCTTCCATTGGTAACGTCAACAAAAGAGAGTAAGAAGTGAAAGAAGAGTCGGACGTGAAATCGACAAGAAGTGAAAGAGTCGTAGCGGAGTCAGAGGATAGATGATGCCATGGTCCCGCAAGTTACCAGCCTTGCGACCGTTGTTTGGCCTTGAGGGAGGGCGATCAGAAAAATCCGGCTTCTTCGTACGGCGTCGGTTCATCCTCGAAGATGACATTGAGCATGTCTGCAATTTCCAGCATGTAGTCGTTGGCGGTGTAGTGGTCCAGACCGTGGGCGTCCATGAAGACACGGTCCGCGTCAGCCTCGACGTCACGGACTGTGGTGCCAAACTCCTCAGCGACCTCGCTAAGCTGCTCGAGCTCCTTGCCGAAGGGGTGGGGCGAAACTGGGCCAGAAGCACGGAAGAAGTCGGTCGAGTCTCTGGTGGTGATGATGTCCTCGGGGAAAGAGGGAGCGTTGCGCGAGATGGAGCGCTTGTGGCTCAAATCGCGAGAGACCGATCGCTTGTGGCTCAACTGGTGAGCGTGCTTGCTGTGAGAAGGGGCGCGTTGAGGAAGGACAGGGGCAACGTCGCTGGACGATGGGCGAAGGAATGAGCTGACAGATGTGTCGCGGCTGTGCTGTGGGACGTCGTCGTAGACAGAAGGCTTGAAGTAGCAGCTGAGGTGGTTGGGCTCGGGAGACATGGGCGACTCGTCAAAGGAAGAAGCGTCGGTGAAAGTGCCTCCAGAGCGGTGACCGATACTGCTAGAGTCGCTGTACTCGAGCGAGCTCAGACTGTTGGAGCTGGATGAGGTTGCAAGGACTCCTGCCTTGTAGGTGATGGGGGTGGTTCCAAAGATGTCCGGGGCCTCGTATGCGAGGGTGTTTGTCGTCGAGATCAACTCGATGGGACCGGAGATCTTGGGACGCTGGATGCGCTGACTGGCAGAGCGATCCAGGTCCGAGTTCTTACGGGCAGCCCGTCTGGTGGTGAAAGCACGGACAAGCGACATGTTTGCGGATAGCAGTGGTGGAAAAGACCAAAAGTACTTTTTGAAGAAGAGAAAAGCTCCGGGCGTGAGAGTGAAAGGGTCAGTTGTTGGCAGGTCTCACACGTGTAACCGAAGTGATCACAAGATCCTATTCACTTGAGGTGTGTTGTAGAGCAGGTGATCAGAGCGTCTGTCTTGTCTAATTCCTGTCTTGCAGAAAATGTCACAGCCTGGTGATGTCTCGAGAGATGATCGAAGTTGGGTTGTTTGTTGGAAAGAATGAAGGCTAACCGGGACACAGTCCTTGCGGTTAATGGTGGTAAGAGAATGAGTGGTTTGTGACTTTGTCGCCCAAAAGAGAGGAAGCGATAGCCAGGAGGGTAAAGCGCGACGTCCTGAGACGAGTGGGCGCTTGAGGTTGACAAGGAATGACTTTGAGAAACAGGTGGTGTCTTGGAAAAAGAGCAAGAGAAGATCTCTTGAGGTGGCACCCCCCTCGTTTTGAATGCACCACGAATGCACCTACTTTCTGGCGGGCGCCAACGAATCGGAAGGGCTGCAAGGTGAAAATCGTGCAGGAACAGAGTTCCAGGCACTCGACAAAAGCTTCACTGGCACGCTATGCAGCCCGCTGTTCTCCAGGCACAGGTCCTTGATTGGCTCAACTCCCCTATCTTCTCCGCGTCGACGTTCGGTAGCGCTTCACAAAAGTTGTCTTTGACGGGACGCTTACGCGAGTCCAACCCTAATCAAGCCGTGGTTTCACTCCACGAGCGAGAGCATGGGCTTAGCATGAGTGGACCATGGGTGGTTAACGGCCGCCGGAGGCTTGCCAAAACTCCACCATAACCGCCCAACCTTTAAGGAGGTGACCGTTTACGACCTCGATGGTTTCTGTGAACCGCCAAAGTACCAGCTACTGTCACTGGCGCCATGCTCACGTGCGGGTCCCTCGAGGCGCGTCTTGCTGGCAAGAGAAATGCCGTGCTACACAACATGTGCCATGTGTATATGTACACTCGCCATCACGCAGTCACGCTACGCGACTCGCCCTGCTCATATTGGCTTATGGTAGATGAAACGCAGCCGTCCGCATATATTCAAGACCCCCAAAACGGCGAGTTCAATCTACAATTCCACGTGCTAGCATATGAAACAGCACTCTGCCATGGTATTGCTAAATCTATCCATGGGTGCAGATTCTGCGTCAACAAGCACTGGGCAGCTGGCGTGACAGATTGATCGAGTCTGATGCGTAATGCATCCGAATAGTCAGGACCTCATAAAACTGTATATACCGTATAGAATCTGCAGAGACGTTGCGGCTCGCGAGTAGCTCTCGCCATCCAAGTATGCTCGGCTAGTAGGGCGGAGCAAAGGACGTTGTCAGGGGTGAGTCCACGCGCAACAAAAAGTATTTGGCAAGGAGAATGACATTGATCGAGGACCGAGCCGAGCGAGCCAGGAAAACAGACACATCACATACCTCTCTCGTCATGCTTTGATTTGTTGCTCAGGGCATCTCCAATCAAGCGAATTAGGGTACACCGTTCGGCCGCATACTTGTATCGATAGCATCGGTAGACAACCTCTTCCACATGCTTCTATCTTGATAGTGATAACAACAGCTCGGCACATCTATGATCTGCATCCGAAGCTCTCCCAAAGAATTTCGCGAACCCTATCCCTCAAACGCCAACGCTATGTTGATAACTCGATTACTGACATGCATATGCTGAAACACCAACGACGTAACCCTCTCATATTGATGATGCTTTCTATAGCTCATCGGTGGTGGGCAAGCGGAACTCCCATGAGCGTGGGGTGATTTCAAGACCCAGCCATCGCTGCCACAATCTACAAAGCTCCGTGATGAGGATGATGAAACTGATCACTAAATTAGCAACTTTTCTTGTAAGAATGAAAGACAACTTACATTGTCTGAGGAATCTCGATCCAACTCTTGAGGATGAACTTTGTGGCCGACCATACCAGATTGATTTCTGCCTTGGTCTTTTGCCATTCTGAGAGTGGTGGCGGCTTAGGCTTCTCCCAAGCATCATCATCGTCGAGCTCGTCTTCCTCAGCGACGTCTTGCTGCTGTTGTTCTTTCTCGACAACAGTCTCGGGAACTGGAACACCTTTCTCTTCGGCCAACATGCGCTGGAAGTCACCGAGTGCTTTGATGGCATTGCTGACTTTGTCCAAAGTGTTGAAGAAGGCAACCAGCTCGATCCTCTTGAGGGCTGAAGCAGGCTGGTCGTTGTTAAAGTCGAACAGGATCTTCAAGGCTGTGCCGTAACCTGCAGTCTGGAGCTTGCCCCAAAGCCTGCATTTGTCGCAGCCAACGCAGTCCATGATGCGACTAACATTACGGAAACGGTTGCGGAAGTCCTCTTTGAGGCTGATCCCGGTGTCGCCCAGTGGATTCTCACGGAACATGACGCTCTCGTCGAAGATTTCAGGGCCAGCGGGGATGGTGTTAGCAACCTTCAAAGCCATGTCTTTGGTACGCTTGTCCTGCTTTGGGTCGCCAGTGCAAAAAGTGTAGTCCTGGACATAATCCTTAAGCTTGCCAGCGGCCCTGGCCATAAGAGCGTAGTTGAAGTAGAGGTTCGAGATGCGCTCGGGATGGTTGTGAAGGCGCTGCTTGTAGCACTCCAGGTTGGGGCCCCATTTGCCAGTGGACTGGTTGAGGTAGTCGTAGCACAGATGGGTGGAGATGGAGGCATGCATTCCAGAAATCACTCTGTAAAAGACGCGCTTCTCAAGGCACTCGTCATCAAACTCCATGTTATCCTCGAACTTGCCTTCTTGCGAAGCCAGCTGACGACCATGCTCTTTCATGACAGACCTAAGATCCTGTGCAGCTTGACCCTGCATGCCCGAGAAACCACCAAAGGGAGGGGCCAGACCACCAGCTCCCTGGCTTTGTGCACTCGAACTCGGCTTGGAGAAACAGTTCTCGCGGTAGATGGCCTCCCAGATCTGGTGAGCACCCTCACCAGCGTATCCTGTGAAGCGCTCTGGGTTGTCGAGCAGACTGACATAGTCGCCCTTGGCACTTGCGCTCTCATCTTCAGGAACGCAGTAGTCTCTTTCGTCGCACTCGTCATCGTACTCGACAACACAGCTTTCGCCGACATCCTCGCCGAGTTCTCCGTGAAGCGGTCTCTCTAACTCCCGTTGCTCTTTCTTGCCAGGGTGGTGTGCTTTGGGGCCTTCGAGTCTACTGAGCTCTTCAGCTCTCCAGATCTCGGGAACGTCTTCTTCGTTTTCAAGCGTGGTGACGGCGCAGGCAATGTTGCCACAGAGACCCTCATCGTCTGACCAGAACGGACACTTCTTGTTATACAGGTTCAGGCGGTAGTAGGAGAAGAAATCGGTCTTGGACACGAGATCATGAAGGGCGGGGTTCAGACGAGTGTTGAGAGTGTCAAGGTCGGCGTACGAAGCGCAAGCATCGGATACTGTGGCACCAGGCTCAACCTAGATGTTCAGGTCAGATGTGCTCTCCCCTTGGAAAATTGTGTATCTGGACGAGGCGGCTTACGGGACAGATGGCTGGATTCGAAGAGGCAGCCTGGGATGAGCCTAGCAGTGCAAAGACTGCTAGAAAGAAGGAGCCGGCAGACGTTCGCATTGTGATATGCTGTATTCTGTCACGTCGGGATTAGCAAAGGAGGAACGTGGAGAAAGATTGTGGTAATCGCATACCAAAGTGGATAATCGAGGGCGATCAGCGCATTCTTGGCCGTTGGCACTTTGGAAAGAATGACGGCTGCGGAAGGTTGTCCAACAAAGAAAAGACGTGGGCAGAAGAGGCCAGCAAGCAAGCAGGCTATTATATATAGATATAGCGCAGAGAAGACACGATATGTCGAGCAATGCAGCGTTTGATATGAGAGGTGGCTTCTTCAGACTTTCAGAACTGGCTTGATAATCAGGAGCATCCGTGATCGTCACCTCAGCGAAGCCTCCACCACATGCGACCGCCGTCCGCAGCGCCGCTCGGCACAAGCATGGACCGCTTTTCCGGCGACCGCCTTCAGCCCTACGCTGCGAACCTCCCAAATTTTCTTCGGCCGCCTTTTCCTCCAACCTCTGCAACACGCGCTGGCATGCGCTGTCAGATGGCCGTGAGCACAGTCTGCCACGGCCATCTGTCCCATCGGTAATGTAAGTCGTCTATTTTTCTTTCGCTCCTAGCAATGCACAAACGCAGCTCTACAATGATGAGTTATTCTTTACCCATACAATCTTTAGGAAGAGCCGGAAAAGGTACGCTGGTATCGACATATACCTTCGTCGCTGCTTATAACCGGGAATCTGAAATTCACAACCATCTCTGCACTGTATACATATATCCAGTCAGGCCAATGACTAACAAAACTTATCAGGTACTTCAATATGACCTCGCATCCATCATCTGGATACCTAAACTGGGAATACGATGGTTTTGCTCATATCATATCATGTCATTAATTTTTCGTACATATTCGGTCGTATCAATCTCAACTACTACCTTTGCCAGGCCCTCTCAAGCTCTCTTCCATTCAAAGTGGTACTTTCCAGTGGTAGGAGCTCCCTTAGGATCCTCACCCTTCTTGTCGTACATGTGCTTGCCGAAGTAATCGAGCTCGGCTTCGTAGAACTGTGTCGGAAGCTCCAAACCAGTCTGGTACTTGATGTAATCAAGCGACGACGAGATGGCAGGGACCACATGATCACCAAGTACTGCCTGCACCACGACACGCTTGAGTGCGGGCTGGCCTTTCTTGAGGTCGCTGGCGATGGTCTTCTCGAACAACAGGTTCATCGTGTCTTTGCTCTGGAACTCGGCAAAGATAGGCTCGAGCAAAGAAGCAATGTAATCGGCTTGAATGATGCAGCCAGCGCGCCAGATCTGCAGGACTTCCGAGAAGTTGATGTTCCAATGGACCTCTCTGTTCTTATGGTCGATGACATTGATGCCTTGCACGTAGGCAGCCAGACATGCTGTGTACGTGGCCACACGCAAGTCTTCCAGGAACTCGGCCTTGTCCTTGACATCCAGTTTCTGTGCAGGGAAGTCACCTCCGAATGCCTTTTGTGCGCGATCACGCTGGGCACGGTCGGCCGAAGCCAAACGGAAGAAGTGGGCTGAGCTCAGCGTAGGTGCCGGGATGTGTTCCCCAACAGCCTCTTCGTTTGACCAGATACCAGTTCCTTCCTCGCCAGTAATATCTTGCACAACCTTGTCTTCCACGGTTTCCAGAACGCGTTCGCCATTCTTTGGATCCTTAGTTCTGCAGATATCGGCTCCGATCTTCACTAGGAATGTACCTTCCTGTTGGAAGTCAGCATACACTTTCATTTACACGGTGCGGTTCCCTTACCAGCTCGCCCTCCGTGTTCCACTTCTCAAAGATGTCGCCGATCTCGTCCTCAGACAGTCCAAGGCCAGTTCTCATTATGCCCCATGCTTCCGAGATGGCACTCATCATTCCGTGTTCGATACCGTTGTGGATCATCTTCACGTAGTGGCCTGCACCTCCTGTACCAGCCTTGCCAACACATGGTCTACCCTTGGGGTCCTTTGCAGCAACCTTACGCAGGAAAGGAAGGACGAGATCAAGGGATTGATCATCAGCTCCTGGGCACATCGATGGACCGCTGCGAGCTGTGTTAGACCCGATGTTGTGGGCGAATGAGAGTAACATACCGACGGGCAGCTTGGTATCCTCCAGAGACACCACAGCCAATATATCTGATACCTCTGGTGACACATTTGCCCTGTCTTCTTTCTGTGTTCTTCCAATGCTCGTTACCACAATCGATGATGATATCTCCCTTCTCGAGGTAAGGCATGAGACCTGCAAGCACACCGTCTCCTACACTACCATGGGGCAAGCTGAAGACGAAGACCTTGGGCGAATCGAGGGAGTTGCACAATGACTTGTAGTCGCTGTGCTTGCTGATACGATCTCCGAAGCCTTCTTCTTTGGCCTGTTTGATGATACCATCCATAGCTTCTTCAGAGGGATCTTCTAGCGATACATGGCAGCCATTCTCGGCGAACAGAAGGGCCATACCACCACCCATGCTACCACTGCCGATCACGGCTATCTATTTTGATGTTAATACATAGCTTTCTAGCTGGTGACCACCTGCATACCTTCTTGATGTCCAGTCCGTCGGCGGACGAGCTGTTGTTCGTGCTGGTCATGATTGCACGGTATATGATTTCTCTCACTTTGCAAGTTGAATGTAGAAGACTCGATGCAAGTCAACGAAACTGAGGTGACCGAATATATGTCTGACGTATTTGGGTGTTCATGGTGGGGTAGCTGCGATTGACGTTTTCAACTGTCACTTCGGGCCGGCTTCCAAGTTGCTTGTAAATGCTTAACATCGATCGACGGGATGCTCGGAAGCCGCTGTAGAGCATCAATGCTGTCGTAAAAGTGCTCATTATAGTACATTAAGATATGTTCTGATCAATCGTAGTCTGCCTCGTCTTCAAAATCCTGCTCAGACTCGCCATCCACGGACGAAATCGAGTCTATCGTTCTCTCATCCTCGACATCTTGGAATTGTTCTTCACGGTCCTCCATAGGCATCGGGTCAAGTTCCTTGATGGTGGCTTCGTGTTCATGCTCCCTCTCGTCATCGACGAAACCCACGCTCTTCCTCCTCGGAGACTTTTCTTGACTGTTCGATGTCACTCGACTTCGTTGCTCTGTGACTTCCTCCAGAACATCACCATTCCAAGGTTTACACTCTTTCACGACTTCTCCACAGCGTAAACATGTCCATCCCTCGCCTTCCTCGGCCTCGATGCGCTGCGCCAAACAGACAAAGCAGTATATGCATCCACAAGGTATTGCCTCATATGGGTTAGTGACGTCTGTTTGGGCACTGCCAATAACGCCACCACCTGTGTTTCCTGATTGTGCGAGTACCTCTGCTTCCGAACCACCGCCCACGGCGTTTTGATCGCGATAGCAAATGGCGCAGGTACGTTCTGGCAAGAATCCAAGCTCACCTCCCATATTTGTGTCCTCATCGTCAGCCTTCTGAGTAAACATGCTTTTGACCTTCTTCCACGCTCTTGACAATAGGCGCCTCCAACGGCTGATGCCCACGAGGGGAAGTAGGAAGAGTAGGAACTCGGTAAATGCGTGCCAAACCAATTGGCGGTTCAGGTACTCGAAGCTGACTTCTCTGCTTGTTTGTGCGGACGCTGGGGCAAGCCGTAGTCGAAGCAGTCGATCTGCAAGTGTCCTGTATTTGCCGTTGAACAAGAAGACCAAGAAGGATGCCAGGGCGGCCATCTCATGTGTCATGCCAATCCATCCAGTAAGCTTGCTGAGCTTCTTGACCAGCAGCGCGGGCTCCTCGTAGCCGCCTTCTTTCTCAAGGAGCCAATCTTCTAGTTTCTGCCATGAGTAGCGGCCTCCGACTGTGATGAGACCGTATGCAGCCTTCTGCCATTTTGTAGGATCTTGACCCGAGCCGGCGCCGATAGTTGAAGGTTGTGTTCTTGCGTCGACGTACTTTAGTCCTTGTAGACTGGCACCGTAGCTAGTGCCTCGATCCCAGATGCTAAGCTTCCATAGTATAGCTCGAAGAATTGCGCCAATCTCTGAGGACCACTCGTCTGCAATATGACCTCCAAAGTATTTGAGGGCATCACCAACTTGGCCGCGTAGTAGTTGTAGGAGCTCCTCGTCGAGCAATTCTGCGTCGACCTGACCAACGCGAAAGTACGGAGTAGGTGTTTGAAGAGGATTGTTTCTAAGTGTGGTCCATGTAGAGAGGCCGGTAGAAGTGAGTGAGCGTAGACCCGGTGGTAGAGTCAGCAGCGCGGGTGGCAGGGTCGGTGGAGAAGGAGGCGGTATTGGACGAGCTGCAGCGGCGCGACGAGCGAGTACACGCGCCTGAGCGGCAGCAAAGTCGGGAGAGGTCATGACGATTGAACAGAGATCATTGTGTGTATCGACGAGTATACCATAATACGTGAAAGCGACACCGGCAAAGCATGTGAACTGCATCACAGCTCCAACCTGCCGAGGTTCGCTGCTCGCTCGCTCCCGTTGCCGACCGGCGACTCACCACCGGCCGATTCAGCCTCCTTCATCCAACTTTACTGTCAAATACAATCTGGATCAACGAAACATCAGGCGTAGACTCTGCTCAATGCTGATATCCTCCGGGATATGGCGACCCGCTAAGTGTGTGTGTCTGAGCGCAAGAGGTCAACTGCCGCTGGCTCAGTGTTGTACTACATGACCTTGCAAGCACCTGGCAGGAGCATGCGACTATAATTCGAGACGGTAGAAACTATATGACCTCGTACGTTCCATGCAGCCCATCTGCTGCCCGGTCATCTTCTTTGTCAACATGTCGCACTCAGCTCAAACCTTCGGTCATTAGTAAAGGGCATAACGACGGCTAAGGACGATCATGAGGACATGGCCGCGCCTTGGCGAACCGGCCGACTCCTCCCAAGCCACCTGGATTGCGTTGTCTTCTCCTCCCCCTTTCCTCTTGCCCTGCATATATCAACTGTTCGATCCTGCATGCACGATCCTACGGTAGACATTTCTAGAGCCGTCAACCGCTCCGAAGCGAGCACGTGCCATGGTTGCCCGACCTCTTCTGATAGCATGCTTCCTCGCGACTAGTGTCTGCTCGAAGCCATGGACCATCGGAGGAGGACTTGTCAAGTCAAATGACCAATTGGTTATCGGTCCAGACACGCCAAAGCCCTATGAGTCGGCAAATGGCTCCACGAGTAGAACAGAGATGTTTCAATACATGGTGGACGCCCTGGATGTTATGCAATCTCAGTTCTACGAGCTATGGATCGGGACATGGCCTTCATCAATCGATTGGACCGGTGCTGTGATCAACACTGCTGTTTCTTCCACGGTCAAAAGCATTGCCCGAGCAAGCAGCAAAACTAAAGATGATCACTTCTCGAAGATGATCAACAAGTACTTCTCCCACAACGCAGCCTACTACTTTGGAGAAGACTCCTTCAGCATCCGCAATGAAGCCTACGATGATATCCTATGGACGGTTTTGGAGTGGCTTGAGAACATAAAGACGATCGAATATCGCAACAGTACAGACCCAGCATGGCATGGTGTCCAATTCATTCCTGCCTTCAGTCACCGTGCGCGATTATTCTGGGATCTTGCTTCCCAAGGCTGGGACAATGATCTCTGCGGAGGTGGCATGCTTTGGAATCCCAGACTTCTGCCATACAAGAACACGATCACGAATCAACTGTTCATTTCAGCTTCAGTCGCTATGTATCTTTCTTCTCCTGGCGATGCTATCGATTTTCCCTTCTTGGCTTCTGACCCACACACGTTTGGTTCCATGCCAGGACGGCCACATGATCAAAAGTACCTTAAAGCTGCTATCGAGGGTTACTCTTGGCTTGAGCAGAGCAACATGACCAACACCAATGGCCTTTACGTTGACGGCTACCACATCAAAGGCTACAACATGAAAAACGGAAGCGTCGGCACAGGAAAATGCGACGAGCGTAATGAAATGGTATACACCTATAACCAAGGTGTGATCCTATCCGGCCAGCGAGGTCTCTGGGAAGCAACTGGAAACACTGGCTACTTGGATGACGGGTACAGCCTGATACGCAACGTTATGGCATCCACAGGCTGGTCCTGGTCTGGAGAGTCACACTCGCCAGTCCACAAATCAAGCGGCTGGGCTGGACTGGGCCAACATGGAATTCTAGAGGAGTTATGCGATCGCAGCGGCACATGTAGTCAAGATTCTCAGACTTTCAAGGGCATCTTCTTCCAACACTTGACACAATTTTGCGAAGCATTGCCACTGAACGCAACCATCCCTGGCCAGACGCATGTAGCAAGCAAGCAGCTCAGAGAGAGGCACGACGAATTCTGCAAAACGGTGGGTCAGTGGGTCGCACACAATGCGGAAGCTGCACTGAGTACGAAGAATGCATCTGGTCTTTTTGGCATGTGGTGGGGTCATGATTATGCCGCCGCGGACTACCCAGAGAATCTCCCTACCCACGCCATCGACTATCGAAACGATGCATCCGTTTTGTCAACAGTAGAGTGGGCATTATCGCAACATTCACGCTCGATGGACGATACAGGCGTTCATGCAGAGGTGAGCAGTGAGAATCTCGTGACGAGAGATGTCAATGATCGTGGCAGAGGCCGTACGGTCGAGACGCAACAAGGAGGTCTTGCTGTCCTCAGGTCATCTTGGGAGTTCTTAGACACATGATGGAAATGGGATGTTGACATGATATAACGATTTTTCGGCGACCGTGAGTTCTTCCACGTTCTTGTTTAGATTTGACTGCTTGAAACATCATCTGCTCGTCGCACGCGTTCGAGCATCTTGTTTGGGCAAGTGCTTCCATGGGAGATATCGTCTTGTATTTCGGGGCAGGGACGGACCCAGCAAAACTCCCTCAAAACGATCTGTAACTTCCCCCTTGACAACCCACTCTTTTCACACCAACCTTTACATACGATATTCTATATGCCTCCTTCAGCAAGCAAAAAAGCCGTGGTGGTGCAGTGGCCAGCACTCCCGATCCCAAACATTCTCTATGTTCGCTCGCTTTACTCATAAACACTTTCTCTCAAGGATCGGAAGGTCGTTGGTTCGAATCCAACTCACGGTGCTTGTTACTGTTTTTGTCCTGCGGATGGTCTGTGGTATGTAGACGGCAATGTTTGATTCGTCTTCTTTTCGACCATCCACTACCGGATGCATCCAGCTTCCTCTCGCCGACAACCTTTTTTCCGCCCCTTTCCTTCTGCTCTTGAATGTTCTTCACATGATCCCCAGCTCGCCAAACGCAGCAATGACATCCTTATCCACATTAACCAACCACTCATTCTGGAACGCCTCTTGTCCACCAGCCGCTTGGATAGCAACTTCCAAATAATGCTTGATCCACTGCGCAACCCTGACGTTATGCACCGGATCCGCAAAACTGAGCTCTCTTCTCCTTTCATCCTCTGGCGCCTCGATGACTTCTGGGTCGGTATTTCTCAATTGATCAATAGACTCGTAGACGAGTGTGTCTGAGTCCACGGAGCCACCTTCTTCGCGTATTTCGGTCACCATGTCTGTCCACAGTGTCATGAGGGATTGCAATGAGGCAAGGATGAAAGGTTGGGAGGTCGAGAGCAGTTTTGTGAGAGCCAAGCACATGAGTTTGCGGCGGGATGGGTCGCCGATGTTTTCGAAGTGGCTGAACCATTCTTCCAGCAGCCATTTCATGGAGTCGCGCAGAGAAGGCTGGTTGGTGGTGTCGCTGAGAGGGATAGGAGGTGCAGAGGCTTGCACGGCTTGCAGGAATATGTTCTCAGAGCCTAGAGCTAGGCGTGCGAGGACGGAAAGGTAGTCGGTCTCGACGATGCCATCGACCGGTGGGTCTCTGGCGAGTGGGCCTGTGGTGCAGTGGGCTACCCAGCTGCCGTGCAGACCTCGGAGTTGCTTGCGCAGGAAGTCGGATTCGACGAGGTCGCTGGCGATGGTGCTGATAGCAGATTCGCCTCCAATGCGCTCGGCTGATCTGATGATGAGTTCGACGAGGTTGTTTACAGTTCCGCTGGCATCGGCTTTGACGTAGCCGACAAGGTTAGATAGGGATGCTATGAGCGGTTTTCGCATCTCGTCAGAGAGCATTTCGGAAGGGGCGAGGAGGAAATAAGATGAAGTAATGTCGAGAGCTGTACGCAGGTTTTCTGATCCTAGGTCGAAAATTGAGAAAAGGTATGGTGCTAGCTGTAGTAGTTCAGGGGAAGCTGGAGCGGGTGTTTGGATCAGTATGTTCGCCCAGAGGTCCAAGGCATCGTCGAGCAGGTAGACTTGTGTATCAGATCCTGGCTCCACTGCACCCTTGATGATAGGCAGCACGAGATGATGGAAGGGCACAGAAGCAGCCTTCATCGAAGTTACAAGGCGAGACAGAATGGTCAGGATGGCTTGCTTCATGAGATGCTCCTCCCCGGACTGCTCCCAGAGGCTAGGCAGAATGCCAATAATCGTTTCTGCATAAGGTGCAATCTGTTCGATCGTCAGCATCAAGATCGACTCAATATGCATATATCACTTACATGATGCTCCAATCGCTCAACCAGAATACTAATCGTGTTGAGCAATGCCATTTTTGTCTCCATGTTTTCAACTTGCTCGATGAGACTCAGCAGCTGCGTCATCGTAGTCTGCACATAAGGCAGGAACTGTTCTGGACTGAACTCCCAATCATCTACTATGTTCTTGAGTTGTCGCCCAGCAGTGATTCTGACAACCTGATCGTTGCACGAGTCGTTGGGATCGAGCAGATGCTGGAATATCTTGTAAACCAGGGGTCTGTTTTCTGCAGAGACCTTGACGGTGATCCATTGACCAAGCAGAATGGCAATACGACGGCGTAGAATGTTGAAACCAGGCTTTTGTTTTTGCACTTCGATGACGATTGTGTTGGACAGGAACGAATCGAAGTCGAGATGTTGTTGCAGGACTGCTGCAGCCAATCCTATCGCTGTGTACACCGAGTCTTTGAACAAGATATCCTCGTTGTCAGGCGCTACAACACATCAATACATGGCGTTCTCGTGATTCATTGATGCGCACAGCGTGCGTGATGACTTACCTGCAACCGTGTAGAACACATTGAGCAGCGGCTGGGTCAACAGGCTTCTGAAGTTGAGGGCGAGATCCAGGAATAGCTTCTCCGCGCAGGGTCTAACACTGTATTCCCATCCTTCGCTCTCGCCTTCCAAACTCTGCTCCCAGTCTTCCGGATCTTCGTTCCATTCTTCAAGTTCACCTTGTCGGAAGACAAAGAATTTGGTGACCACAACTTCCATGACTTCAGTGACAAACGCGTCTGTCAACAGTTGCTCCTTGACAGCTGCAACAGCCTCTGCCTTTTCGATCTTGTCTTGAGGATGCTTGTACTTGAACGTTTGGACGGGGTTGAATACCATCTTGATACAGGCACGAACGAGCTTGAGGCCAGATAAGGTTACTTTCTCTTGGAACGGTTTCTGCTCGCTATCATCTCCGCTAGAAACGCCAGAAGTCAAGCGAGAGCCGAAAGTCTCTCCAAACTGCTTGATCAAGGCCCAATACGAACGAACAAGGTCAAGAGAGTTCGGTAACAGAACAAAAGCGGCAGGATGAGCCTTGGCCATCTCCAGATGTAACTTCGACAGCTGAAGCAAATGCTTTTCTAGTGGTACTGAGAGCTCCTCGGGAAGAGTGGCTGCTTGCGTGGAGATGATGTTCATGAAATTGCCGACCTGGGCGAAAGTGAGTTGCCAGAACTGGTGCACGTCTGATTCTCTGTTGGGAAACTCATAGCCAGCAACGAGTAATCGGCGCAAAGTCTTGATGGCCAACAGACTAGATTGCATCGTCTGTTGCAACGCTCCTTGATCACCAACATTGCTGCTGAGAGTTTCCTGCCAAGACTGTACTTTCTCGAGATAGATCTGTCCAAGCACTTGTACAATCTCGGGGGTTGCAGCCTGCAGAGCGACTCGAGATCTCTGGAGACGAGCAGCGGACAATTCCTTGGTGATATGAAGGAGGATAAGTAATGTACGAGGGAGGTGAATAGGGTTAGCATTGGAGTCTGACGATCGGCGTAGTACACCGATTAGCGTGCTGATGATGTCCGGCCTGTAAAATCTCAGCATTCTATATCAAATAAGGCGGTAGAACATGCCATACCAATCTTGCGGATACTCGAATCGGGAAACCTTGGCGATAACAATTGCGTTCTGAAGAGCCAGACGGTGGTCATATTCTTCGATACCACTTTCCAAAAGACGAGATCTGATCACTCCTTTGTCCTCAGGTGAAACAGCACTGTAAAACATCAGTATGCTTGAACATGAACCCATATCCGAGTAATGCGAGAGTCTTGTCATAAAAGAAACAGAGTGGACATGTAGTAGAAGTCACCACTCACTTTGCAGCAGTCTTGCGCCAGTACTTTTCAATGCCATTCTTGAGCTGAATAATGGCGAGATATCTGACTTCGAATGGTAGTGATTTATCGATGAATACACTTTGCAAGTGTTTGTAGAAGCCGGCAACTTTCTCCCAGTATTCGAGTTGTTTGGCGCCTGATTGAACTTGCTGAGGGTCTGATGATGCGGCGGCCTTTAGGATGTTGAGTAAGGTATGCTCGGTTAAAGGATTGGCTTCACCCGGCACCTCGATAGCAAAGTTCTGCATCGTGGTGCTGTTGATGGGTGAAGATAGAACGGCAGTGAATTTCCTTCGGGCTGGAGTTTCGGTGTCGGTAGGACTTATTGTAGCAAGATACTTTATCAAGCCGTAAAATACAGTGATATGTTTTGGTCTTGGATTTAGATGCTTTCGTTTTAACGCAAGTGGTTGGCTGATCCGATGTTTGCATGTGAGCCAAGACTTCTGGCAAAGACTGTCTCCCGTCAAGATTTGTGTCAATGCTTCACAACAATGTTGCTTGATGGCGACGACTACATGTATATGTAATCTATCTCTAACATACCTCAGGCAACGTGTTTGGACGCACATTGGAAGGGTCTGAATGCTTTCACACAAACAAACTCATGAAGTACAAGTCAACCTCTCGTTGTAGTCTCACATGCTTCTACCAATATGATCTGTGCTAGACACGATTCATCTCAAACTTCCAGAGTCTTCTCATGCTCCAAGACCTCTGGCATATCGATACTACCCGACGATAGCTTGCTCCAATCCTCCTCATACCCATTCTCGACGTGAGGCCAGGGTCCCAATGGTGTGATAGCCTTGGGATTCAAATCATAATGGCTTTTGGTGTACTGTGATCTTGAATCAGTCTTTACCTCGAGTTCCGGTTGCAACTGACTTACGTTCTCTTTGATGTGCTTGAAGTCTGTGGTGTTTCTAAACTCCTCGTGGTTCCAGTACATGCCCTTGAGCCAGTTGTTCAACACTGGGTAGTCGTGACGGATGGTACCGAGGTTGCATTTCTACTGTGTGTGTCAGATCTGTAAACTCATCTAGAGTAGGGAAGATTTACAAAGTGCTGTACATAGACAGTATCAAAGCGAATCAGAGTGGCGTAAAGGCGAACATCCAGCTCTGTCATCTGTTCACCAAGAACGTAAGGACCTTTGCCTTCGTGAAGCAGCTTCTCCAGTTTGTTGAGAGCACCGAACACAGGTGGGATGTTCTTGTTGTATGTTTCTTGGTCAGGAGCAAAACCAGCTTTGTACACGCCTGTATTCAGATCCGTCTGCATCCAGTCAGAGATCTTGTCGATCTTCTGGCGCAAGTGTTCGGGATATAGAGTCAACTTCGCCTTCTCTGATGGAAGCAGATCATTGAATGAGGTCTGGAGCCAGCGTAGGAGTTCTGCTGATTCCTGGTCTGATCGTTAGCATACTGAAGTACGACCAGCTAGAAAAATATCGCAGATTCATACATTGTTGACTGCAGTCTCGGTCTTCGTGTCCCACAGCAACGGCACTGAATAGCGGCCCTTGTACTCTTTATCTGCCTTGAAGTACACTTCATGCAAATATTTGGATCCGAACAGCTTGTCCACAGTAGCGTTCGGATAATCATCGTTCGACTCGGGAAACTGCCAGCCAGGCCAACCCTTGTCATCGCCCTTGGGATAGGGCTTGACAATACTGATATCGATGATATCTTGTAGACCCTTGAGATGACGCACCAGATTTGCACGGTGGGCGAATGGACAGAAGAGACCAACGTACATATGGTAGCGGCCTTTCTCTGGCTGGAATGGATTGTCGGATGAGTTATCGATGACGCCGTGCCAGCTGTCGTCTGGGCCAGTATGAACAGACTTTGGTATCTTGGTGGCCATATTCCGAACAGTAGATGGAGAGGTTATGTTTATGATTCCGGGTGTGCGTCTCAGACTATTGAACATGGACTCAGGGAAGAAGTACAACGAAATGGAAATGGACGTGAATAAAAGAAGCAATCTGACACTGATCAGCATATTATAAGCCATAGTGGTAGTTCTCGGCATACCACAATCCTCAACTGCGCAATTTAGCGGTCGAAGCAGGTTAATGTCTACTTTGCATGAATGACAGAATGCTTTATAGCCGATATGTAGTGCAGTATATATCCTCGTCATAGCATGTGGGCCGGAGCTCGCGGGAGGAGCTCGGAAGCTGGGAGCCTGCGGAAAGCTGCTCATTCGCCCAACTCCCGAACGGGAAACCTACAACATTGTAGAGTCAAGTGGCTGAGGCAGTGGTTATATACTATTATAACGAAGAAGCAAGTAAGAAAGCATGCACATTTGTTCGGCTTCTCAGAAGGATCATATGAAAGGATGAGATGCTTCGACTACTCTGAAGCTGAGGGACCCAATGAACTGCTTTGGATTGGACATGTTGTATCTCATGACGTTAACACTCTGGAAGTTGAAAGAAATCACTTTTTCGTCTAAATATTCTATGCGTACAGATGCGCAACTATTGCGTCTTCTTGGCCTTGGACTCATCAGGCTTGCTGTAGAGCCAGACAGCGACGAAGATCAGCCAGCCAGTGGCCGTGACACCGATGCCAGCAATCCAGGGGTAGGCACCGCTGATGACGAAACTGCGTGGCCACTCATCGTGAGCAAAGTGGCGGACAGTGACGGTGCGCTTCTCGTAGATGTTGCTGAGGAAAGGACGCTTGTAGTTGACGATGAAGTTGAAGATGCCATGCTGATCGGGCACGGTAAAGCTGGCTTCGAAGATGGTGCTGTTGGTAGTCGGCTTGACTGGGTCCAAAGTCACACGATGGAAGGGAGACAGCATGCTGAACTCGAGCTGAAGAGAGTCTCCGGAAGCAGGGAGGAAGGGAATCCAGCGGTCACCATTGTACTCGGACAGTTCGATCGAGAAGTGCTACATAACTTTTAGCGGAAGACAATCAAAGGGCGAAGATGGTGACACTTACGACATCGTTCTTGATCCTGTACATGATAGGGTTGATCTCGGGGAATTCAGAGACGCTCAGGTTGGTGGATTCCTTGACCTTGCCCTCATTGAGGTAGTGCTGAACCTTGCCGACCTTGAGCACACCAATCTCCTGGAAAGTCCAGGCAGACAGTCTTTCGGCAAAGGCTTTGTTGGCAGTAGCAGTGGCCTCGGAATCACGAGGGGCCTTGACCTGAGCATTGAACCAGGCATCCTGCAGCATCTCAGCAGAACCAAGGACAGTGAAACGGGCCGAGTTTCTGGCCTGGAAGGTGGAGACGAGCGACAACTGAGAGCCAGAAGCAAAGACATCCTCGAGAGATTCTTCCTCCTTGGGGTTGTACGAGTATGCCGTCTCGGGGGCGCGCAGGACGGGCGAAAGCAGGGGGCTGGCGTTGCCCAGAAGCTGACCAACAGCACGAGGGACGGCAAGAGTTCCATCTACATCGAAGTAGTTCTTGACACCGGTCTTCAAGGTCTTGGGAGCGGGGATAAGCAAAACATCGTGCTTGTCGGCAGCTGAGTTGGAGTCGTAGTTGATGTGGTCGACGACGAGAGCGCTACGCTCCGGAGGGAGAGTGACATCGAATTCGAGAAGGAGAGAAGCAACGGCGGCAGGGATGGGCTGGTCGGCGGTGAGGGCGAGCAGAACATTGCCGTTGTTGTTGACGTAGTCGACGAGGGCGTTGGGGGTCAATTGGGGACCGAAGCCCTTGGACTTGGGAGGCAGGAGGACAAGATGGTCGTATGCGAGGTTGCCGTGCTTGAACAGCGAGAGGCTCTTGGACTTTGGTGACTCGTATGTGACGGTGTATCCACGGGCTAGTGTGACTCAGTCAGTCCAATCTGTCTCGAAAGATATAACCAGGCACAACTTACACTCAAGATCGCCAAAGAAGGACGAGTACTTGGACTTGTCCGAGGCTTCCTCGAGGACTACCAGGAGACGGTTGCCTGTAGAACTCAGTGCCTGGACCAGACTGACGAGGCCCAGCAGCAAAAAAGACAAGAAGCTGTTCATGTTTGCCATGTCTCGAATGAACAGAGAAAGAGCAGACACAGGAAGCGACGGCAAGCACGTATGAAGCTCCAGCTGTCCTCCGTCGACGCAACGCGCAATGCGAGATGCGGAGAGCTGCCAGCGCCAAGCCCGCTCCAAGTTGCGCCATGACCATTCCCAAACCACTCGCATCAGCAATTGACGACGGCCGGTATACACCAATCTCACTCTCACAATGGCCCCCGTACAGTTCTGGTCGACCCCTGGTCTCTACATCAAGTGGGCTGCCCGCAACAAGCCCGCCATCTTCTGGTCAATCGTCGTCGGCAGCGTCGGTCCCGTCATGGCTCTCGTCGTTCCTCCCGTGCGCGCCCGCTTCGGTGACGGCCCTCGTCCTCAGATTCCCTTGACCTACCCGAGTGAGTCTCCCTGGCCGCTTGGTCCTGCAATCCCGTCTACCACGCCCAGGCCCCAGAATCTCGACCGATTGCGCGCATCTCGACTAACACATCACTCCTAGTACCCAAGGGCCCTCGCAGTCCTCCTTCCGGCTACGAAGACTAAGCTCATCGCAATCTTCTCGTATATCCAACCTCCCAATCACGCGCCAAATTCACCTCCGATACATGTATATATGCAGCCGCTACAAGAGCAACACCCCGCTGTCATCACACCAACTCCCATCGTCAAGAAGAAGCCAACACAAGGAAACATCTCGTTTGGAGTCTTGGGGATTTTCAATTGGCTTTCTCCTTTCTCTCTTGCACCACTTTGTTGTTTTACGAATGCCAAAAATACACCAGCCAGAGGCTCTTCATACTATCTCGTGTATCATCTTTGTGCTGGCCCTGTCCAGACCTCACCAAATTACTGCTTTGTGCATAACAACCCAATACTGGTATCGAACGTAGCAACGGCGCACGAAAAGGTGGTCAGGAGAAAGAACCCCTTGAATGAGAATAGAGTCAATGTTGTTCATATTGATGCTGGGTGTAAAGTATGATTCGGTAGTGACTGTGATGTGTACGACCTTCTAGTCGCAATTCATCGGCTGCAGCTCTCTGCGCTGCAAGTAATGTGGGTGATTCCTTCCCAATTCATCTCTGTTTTGTCGATCTGGTCTTTTCCTGATTTTGTCCTATTGTCTTTCCTGACTTCCGTCGACTTTTTTCCTCTCGTCAATGTCTCGTTTCTTTGCTTCCATCAACTTGTTGCTTCCTTCTGAATCCGTCAGTTTGTTGGCTGTTGGCGTCGCTGTGGCGCAAGAAGCCATCCACCCGATGTGGAATCATCTCGAGGAATTCAAACCTCTTCGCCCTCTGCGTCTCCGTTCTCGTCAGCATCAACATCCTCCTCGCCAAAGGGCATGGTGGCACGACCCTTGCCCTTCTTGCGGACTGGCTCGATTGAAGAACCAGTCTCAACAGGAGCCTCGACTGCGCGTCTCTTTCCCTTGTTCTCGACAGGGGCCTTGGTTGCGGGTCTCTTACCCTTGGCCTTCTCAGAGACCGGCTGGATTTCAGATGGCTGCTCGGCGCCCACCTCGGCCTCCTGCTCGAACTCTCCTTCAAACTCTCCCTCGAACTCCTCTTCGGGTTCTTCTTCGGGCTCTTCTTCAGGCTTCTGCTCGTACTCGATCTCAGGGTCCCAAAGGTAGTCGGTGCCCTTGACCTTGATGCAGGTCAACCACTTGACGGGAGTGGTGGCAATGTCAAGCTGGCTCTCGTTCTTCATGAGCGGAGTGGCGATCTTGACAACACCAGCTTTGATGATGTCCAGGTTGTTCTCGACAACCTTCTGAGCTCTGCTGGACATGGGAAAGTGCTGGTGGAAGCCGCTCTGGACTTCGCGGGTAAGATAGCTTCCACCGCCGTTGAAGAGGCGGGTGTACATGTCATGACCGCCGTACTTGTTCTGGTAGGTTTCTCCCTAAGGCAGTGTTAGCGGTGACCGTTGACCAGAATGAAACTGAGTGATGAGACTAACCGAAGCAAGAGTCAGACCCCACCAATGGCGGTAGAGACCGACAGCGATCCAGCTGAAGATGTCCTTGCCATAGTCGTGTCTGCTGATGGTGCCATCCTTGGCCATACCAGTCACAGAAGACTTCTGGAGTCCTGGAAGATAGTGAGAGCTGACCTCCTTCTCAACGTACTGGCATATGGTCTTCAGCTCATCGTGCTTGGCCTCCAATAGATTACGGAGCTCAGGGGTGAGTTGGTCAAGGACCGAGCGTGCTCTAGGGTACTTCTTGAGGAAGGCCTCCTGAGGGGGCGTGAGCATGAGTGCGTTGTAGTTGCCAGTGAGGTGGACCAGGGCCTCCTTGAACAGCACCTTGGACTGAATACGGTAGGCAACGTCGATCCAGATGACAGGGCTAGCGGAGACGGCTCTGAAGATCTCCTGACCCTTGACAATCAAGCCGTTCTCAATGAGCTTTGCCACCATAGGCAGCTAAGACCTTTGATTAGCAGCGTATCCCAATCACGGTAACAGTAAACTCACAGCACCGAGTCTCTCAGCAACTTCGAGCAGACCTAAGGAGTCAGGGAGCAGCGTGTCAACACTCTCGTCGTTGAAGGCAACAGGCTGGTTGACGAAGATACGCAGCAATCTGTCATAGTCGGCAAAGAGAGTAGGACGGATACGAGGGTTCTCCTCATTCTCGTGCATCAGACTGTATTTCTTGAGGGGACGACCACCTTGATCAACAGGAATACGTCTGAAGACCGGGTAGATATATCTCCTGGTAGCCTCATCAAAGTCCTGGAGAACGAGAAGATAGCGGACACCAATACGCTGTCCCTCGCGTGACAAGTTGGGTCCAGGGATCTTCAGAAGATCAGCGAATGCATCGGCGGCCTGCATGAGTTGAGCTGAGTGCAGCTTGTATCTGGACTCGCTAGACACGATGACCAAGGTGTCGGCACCAGGGATATCGATCTGCATAGCCATAGTGGATCGTGGGGTGTGAGATGGTAGAGGGTAAGTGCGAGATCGTCGGATGTGAGAGCGAGATCGCTGTGCAGTGATGCGGCGTGAGACTAAGAGTTATGAATGCGAGATTGTAGGGTGTGGGAGTGAGATCGCTGTGCAGTGACGCGGCGCGGGATCGTGGAGTGTATGAGATCGTAGCCAAGTGACGTTGCGAGATCGTAGGATGTAAGAGCGGAATCGTTGTGCAGTGACGCGGCGTGAGACTGAGAGTTGTGATGGCGAGATCCCAGGGTGTGAAAGCGAGATCGTTGTGCACGGCGGCGGCGTGAGATCGTACCAAGGGGGGGAGAGCGAGATTGTGAGATGCGAGGTCGCTGCGCAGGATTACAGCATGAGATCCTAGGTTGCGAATGCGAGATTGTTGCGCAGTGCTACGGCGTGATACTGTCTTGAAAGGGGATGTATGTCATGCTACACGCTAGAAACAAGTGACGGTTCACGCGGTGAAAGAACCGTAGAAGCACGTAGAGTGACGAAGAATACCGGATTTTGTTGTCAGTGAATACGCGGTGAAGTTACTAGAAAGACTACGCCGCCAACGTGGTGTGAATATCAACAACACGGTCGTGTCACTTACGCATCCTCCCCGTGTGCTAAGGTTTGTAACTCCCAATCTCCAACACTCGTCTCTCCTACGAAGCTGCAGAGCGCAGTGTTCGCTATGGAAAGGCACAGTGATTTTCCGATTTGTGATGTATCCAAAGAGAGCCTGGAGAACACCACATCTCAATGGATAGGATCCAGTTCTCGAAAGTTTTGTGCATTCTTATGGCCATACTCGTTACAACCCTTTGCACACGGGGAGGATACGAGAAACCTCGAACCAGAGATGGGACCAGAATTCCTAGCCAAGGGACGATGATGGGCGTGGATGAGAACGTCGTGACGAGAAAGAGAGCAATGGTTATAGCAAAGAGAGTTCACTTGGACCGAGGGTAACAGGGTAAGATCCACTGAGAGCTGTCGACCTACCTGGCTCTCTTTCTTTGAACAGTAGACTCCTGTATTTTGAGCTCGATAAGGGACGTTGTCGCTGCTCTGCACCAGAGTAATGCGAGTTCACGATAGAGATGGCAGCGTTCAGGGCTTGGGAAGAATTGCATTCCGTCATTTAAGCCTTCCTTCATCATGGAAAGCAAACAGATACTCTTGTCGAAACGTGAAGCCAAGCAGCTCAGGGCATTTGATCAAAAATATAAGACCGAAAGACAAGGACGGCGTGCAGTCGGAGTCGTCGCGAAAGAGGAAAGGATGAGCGCGGCTACTACCAAGAAGGCAGCTCTTGATTGATGCCAGCCGTGAGTGTATACAGAACAGTTATTCTGATATACCGAACGACAAACATGTCAAGTTTGCCTGCAATCAACCTCTTATAGACAGAGTAGACTATCATGCAACCAGCCCATAAGCAAGCTCTAATGCTTGCGATGCTTGTCCGAACTACAGCCCTCGCCCTTTTGTTCTTCGCTGCCCGCAGGCACGTGGGTGTTATCAATGGTCGACGATAAGCAAACAGGCGATCCCCGTGCTATAACAGCCGGCCTGCATATCATGAGTCTGTGCAAGATGGCAAAAAAGCATGTTGAGAGATACGCACCTCTGTATTAAAAAGGTTGGTACGAGCCCTTATTCTGCTCTTTTGCTGCTTACTTGGTAGAGCAACACGCTTTCATCTGGGGAAGCAAATATCTATTCTTTCCATCTCTACATATCATTATCTCATAGAATCGTTCGTTCACTCATTCATTGACCTCTCGTTATGCGCATCGGTACCAGCGTTTGGGCGTCCGCCCTGCTGGCTCTCAGCGCTCCAGTTCATGCCTGTCAGAGCTGTGAGCACCCCGAGCAAGATGTTGTCATGACAAGAAATGTCCGCCGCATGCAACCAGATGCTCAAAATTCGTCTGCTCTCCCTCGCGGACCACTGGCATGGGGCCAGCTCAACTTTCTCCATACAACCGACACCCACGGCTGGCTCGAGGGACATATCAGAGAGCAGAACTATGGTGCAGACTGGGGTGACTATGTGTCTTTTGTCAAGCAGATGAGGCAGAAGGCCAGGGACTTGGATGTCGATCTTCTGGTTGTAGACACGGGTGATCTTCACGATGGCGCCGGTCTCAGCGATGCCACTGGAGTTGCTACCTACGGTGGTGTCAACGGAGAACTGTCAAACCCTATCTTCGAGCAGCTGGATTACGATCTCTTGACCATTGGCAACCACGAACTCTACGTCTCTGCGATCGCCTACGAGACCTTCAGCCAATTTGCCAAGGCATACGGAGAGAAATACTTGACTAGCAATGTTCAAATCAGAAACCCAAGCACCGGCGATTTGGAGTACATCGGTAAAAAGTACCGCTACTTCAAGACTCAGAAGGGCCTCAGAATCATGGCTTTTGGTGTGCTGTTTGACTTTACTGGCAACTCGAATGCTTCAGTCGTCACCAAAGCAGCAGATATGGTCAAGGAGTCTTGGTTCATCAACGCTGTCAACCACAAGAACGTCGATGCCTTTGTGTTGATTGGTCACAACCCTATCGGCCTCAAGAGCAGCAGCAACACTCTACAAACTGTCTTCAAAGCCATCCGTGCCATCAAGCCTGATACGCCTATCGAGATGTTTGGTGGTCACACTCACATCCGTGACTTTGCTGTCTACGACGACAAGTCTGTTGGTATTGAGAGTGGAAGGTACTGCGAAACTCTGGGTTGGTTGGCTGTCAGCGGTATCAACCCAAAGGGCAAGGCTAATCCCAAGGGTGTGCCCAACCCAACCATGAAGGCCAAAAAGGTCAGCACTGCTTCTGCTTCTGCTAGCATTGCCTCTTCCAGCAGTGCTTTAAACATGACTTTCTTCCGTCGCTACCTAGACTGGAACCGTGCAACTTTCGAATATCACGCTGCAGGCAGCCAAGCCAAGGCCTTCGATACCGCCAAAGGTCTTGCAGTGACCGAGAACATCACTGCCACCCGCCAAGAGTTGAACTTGACCAGCATCTACGGCTGCGCACCCCAAACCTGGTGTCTCTCCTGCGCACCCTTCAAATCCGAAGGCTCCATCTACTCTCTCCTCGAGACTGCCCTCTCCGCCACCATCATCACCAAGGAACGTGCTGATAAACCTCGCCTTATCATCACAAACTCTGGTCATATCAGATTCGACTTGGCCGAAGGAGCTTTCGATTACGATTCCAGTTTCATCGTTTCTCCCTTCACCGACGCCTTCAACTATCTTCCAGATGTGCCTTACAATCTAGCCTCCCAAGTCCTCTCTGCACTCGAAAGTGGCAACTACCCTTCCAAACGCGACCTCTCCACCTCCGACTTCGGCTTCTCGCAACTAAACCCTGCACTGGACAGTTGCATCGATCCCCCAGTCACCCACGATCACTTGGTCACCAAGCGCTCGTACCCCGGTGGCCGCATCATCAGACGCCAGACCAGCACTACACCCGGCTACACCACCACCGACGACTTTGGAACCGATGGAGATGACACGATTCACTCAAAGATTCCTTACTACTCTGTGCCCAACTTTTTCCAAGCGAATGGCAGCCTGCCGTCTAATGGAAGTTTGCCAGCGACTGTTGATCTGATCTTTTTGGATTATGTTGCCGCTAGTGTTGTCAAGGCTCTCAATGGGTTGGGTGGAAGTTATACTAACGATGAGGTGACTTATTACTTGCCCAAAGTACGTTTGCGCTCCTTGATTTTTGTTTTGTCCTCCGAGGTGTCGAAAGAAAAGCTGACTGAAAACACACAGAACTTTACGACAAACTCATATCTACCCAAGTATGCACAGATGACTCCGGAGTGGCAAGCCAATGTTCCAAACTGCCCTGTTGGTCTGGGAATCGGTTACAACATTACTGCATAGATGTCGTTTCTGTGGCTCCCCCTTCTGCGGTGTTGTAAAATCATGATTTCACGAGAAAAGCAAATATTTTTTGGAAAGCAACAACACCGACTTTTGGGAACCCGGATATCTCGAGACGAAATATTTCGAAAAGTACTCTTTTCTGGGAAGCAGTTTGTTCTGCTAAATGTATTTTCTGCAAACACATCGGTAGTAGTGACCAATTGGATCAGTTATCTTGCTAGATGTCTTTTGAAGAATAGTTGCATTTCCCAGAGCGGATGTTACATGGAATCGGTGGAATTTCGGCTCCATGCCATGCCATGCCACTACTTCTAGCTAACATGCCATTCCATGTCAATTATCTAGTGGAATAATGCCAATGCCAACCCCATCGTCGTCATCACAGTGACCCTGTCCTTCTAATGTGTCACCCTGTCCTTCTTGGTCCTCCTGGTCCTCCTAGTTCTCCTTGCCGTCCTCCTCTCCTTCGTTAATAGGTAGATTAACCTCCTCGAGGCAGAGGTTCTTCTGCCAGTTCTTAAGACACTTAATGTAGCTAAGATTAGTAGTAGAGAGACATGCTCGGTCCTACGACAGCGTCCTTCTACAGCCACTAAACACCCTCTCTAACTTAGCAGACATTAGATTGATTAAGAGGATATTAATAGCCATCTAAGCGAGGTTTAGGTAGTTAAGTTGCTACGTCGGTTTAAGCCACCACTGTATAGCATCATTAATAAGTACTAGCATGCTCTTAGTGAAGTGGACGAACTCCTCGGGTATATAAACTAAGCTTATATGCCTTAAAGAAGCCTTCCATTAAGCAAGCTTATTTGGCTCCTCCTCTTTTAATAATGACACTACTTATATAGCCTTAGTCTTGTTCTTATACTTATTATTCCATAGAGCACGTATAGCAGCGATGGCTAGTGTTCGCCATGACGAAGGCTACTACTTATTAATGTAGGCTTCGCGATAAGTTAGATGGAGGAGGAGTATAGCGGCATAGGTAGGGGTGTAGCTATTAATAGCTTACCATTTATCGAGCGCAAATCGGCTAGTGTGTATAGCGGCGGTAAGCACTGGATTTAAAGTAGCATACTTAGTTATAGACTTCTCGTAATGCTTACGTAAGAAGTCCATAGAAATTAGTACTTAATTAAGTGTAGTATTATCACCTTTATATAACTTCGTCACCTCCTATAGTGGTTCTATAAACTTAACGAGCTACTTAAGAAACAGCTAGTAACGCCGCTAGAGGGTAGTTTACTCTATATGCTCGTAAGCATACTAAATCGTACGTATGGCTAATTAGGATTAAAGCCCTCGCTTAATTATAGATAGCTAGCTATTCCACCTTATGGTATTGTTAAGCATAGTAGATACACTAGCAGCTACCTTAAATTTACGACGACGGCGAGCTAACTTTATAATCCACTTAAAGAACTAATAGAGGTAGTCGACAGCTTCGTGATTAGTAAGGCTAGTATCTTAACTAAGCATTAAGATCGCTTCTAAGGGGTCTTAACTTTAGGCAAGCGTAGTAGCAATAGCTTCTTTTAAGCTTACTAACATAAGTGCTTAACTAGTAAGGTTAATCTAATGGCTAAAATAACGAGTTCGATGCTATATAGGGTCCTAATTAATAGAAAGGCGCTCGCTAAATAGAGTAGTAAGGTGGCTTATTATGGTGTCGTTATAGGTAGCGTTATTAGAAGTGATGTATCTAACTTTCTGCTTAATGCTATATTTAACAATAGTCTCGAAGAAGAGAGGGGCATACTAAGCACTAGCATAGCTAGACGGTAGCTTATAGAGAGTAAGTAGTGCCTTACTTAGCTTACCATCTAACGTAATGAATCGAGCTATAATACTAAGCAGCTTATAGCTACCATAGTTAGCTATCTAAGCATTATAGGTAAAGTGGATTAAGGATCGAGATGTTATAAGAAGACCTTTAAGCTGCTCTTAATAGAAGTTATGCTCCTTCTTAACGTGTTTAGCAACGGTATAATGAGTCTTAATTAGGAGCTTAGATGCGCTAGGAAGCACCTTGTCGAGTAGAGCATAAAGCTTATCATTACCGGCGATACGGAAGGGGATATTGCTTAAGGTGATTAAGTTAATTAGACGTCTATTTAAGCGAGCTTTGTCGATATTAGTAACAGTACGAGACTAAGAGGGTATTACTCTTGCTATAATCCTTAGAAGTGTACTAGTTGCCTGCCTCTAGCCATGTTTATTTATTAAGTGCGATCTAATGTTATCGTAGTTGGTAGTAGAGTAGTTACGAGGATAGTCTTTATTACTATAGAAGTAGTACTAGATCTTCTTCTTACGCTTACGGTCGCGCTTACTATAACGGCGAGCTCTAGTATAAGACTAGAGCTCTTTAGAGTCGCCATAGGTAGAAGTAGCCCTCCGACGAGGTTATATTAGTGTTACGTCAGACTTATTAATGACATTGCTTAAGGTAAATGGTGTTAGTCGCTATCGCTTCGAAGGAGGAAGTAACGGCTAATTAACATTAGAGGCGCTAGCGTTAGACTTAACGCTACTGCCTTTAATATAGATACTGTATGTGCGATCTACTAAGCCTTAGACTAGAAGGAAGGCCTTCTCTTTTAGAGTGTTAAAGGCGAATTTAAAGAGAGTGCTCTATATAGAGGCGCGTAGCGGCTAGCCCTAAGGAGTTCAAGAGTTTAATTAGCTTTACGACTATGTATTAGTAGGTAAATACATAATATAAAGGTCGAGTTAAGTATGGTGTAGTATGCTAACTAAGACGGGAAAACAGCTAGGAGCTTAGCTCTAATGTGTAGCAAGAAGTGGTTAGAAGAGTAGTAGTTAGAGTATTAAATGTATGAATTAGGAGCAATTGATACGCGTCGAAAAGGACGCGTAAGAGATCGCGTGGCTAAAGCCTAAGTCGACCAATTAAAGCGCTAGATCTAATCTCCGAGATAAGATCTAGCCAATTAGAGGCCTTAGATATGCTACTAATCGAAACACGCGTAATAGCGAGCTTTTCCATGAAATCTGCTATGCCTAAGCGCTACACGCGCCAACTTCGAGCTTGCTACCTATCTAACCATTAACATTAGCTATATTAAGAGGTGGAATAGTGGAATATTCTACCAGAATTGGCGATTCTATTCCATGCTAACTAGGTAGAATATTCTACTGAAAATCAGTGGCATATGCCAATATTCTACTTATTCCATGCCATGTAACATCTACACTGGCATTTCCCTTGTCCGTGATGCTTAGGGTGCAACCCTGACTCGGATCAATTCTCACATCAATGCCATCACCAGAGGTCGTATGACGGCTCTTCCTCTCACAAAATGAAACATACTATTCGTTATAGTATCGGACGGTTGATAGAGTGGTAGATTGGTGTTTCCGTGGCTCATACGTCTGTTCTATACATTTCTCTACAGGATCGCACACTTGGCTGCGAATATCATACCTACAACTCTCGACGTCCTACCCAATATCACAGTCAATAGAGGGTGCGATATAGTAGCCTTGAGAACACGAACAGTTAAGTTGATTCTCTTTTCGAACAATGTATAAACAAAAAAATGCTATGCCTGCTTTTCTCTGTAGGGAACCTTTTGTCTGTTCATAACCAAGTGACGACGAATAAAATCCTGACAATCAAAGAACGGACCATCCAACATCCATCGAACATGACTTCTACAAAGACACCTAATCCTCAGTCAAGTCACCATACTCCCACTGACCAAGTCTACGCTCCTTGGCCTCAGTCTCACGAGCCTGAAGATCAGCAAGCACATCTCCAGCTCCTCTCTCCCAAGCCTTGAGCTTCTTGGGCACCATGGCGAAACCTTCGGAGATGATATCGGCATTGACGCTGTCCTTCAGACTGTCGCTCTGCTTAGGGTCGAACAGTGTGACGTGCAGTGTGCCCTCACGAGGATCAATGTAATCCACATTGGCAACCAATTGGCGATCGGCAGTGGAGTCGCTGATGATGTTGACGGCTTCGCGGAGGTATTCGGGTGCGGTGGGGAATTGCAGGAAGGAGAAGACGGCATCGAGGGCTTGGGCGCGCAGCTTTTGTACGCCGAAGCGGGTGGGATCGAGGGTGCGCAGGCGCGACCAAGGGATCGTTTCGCTGTTGCCGTAATCGATGTAGACGACCTCGGAAGTCTTGTTTTCGCGGTCGTTGCGGCGGATGCGGGCGCGGTACCATTCATTGTCTTCGCTGAATCTGGCAGACACGAAGTCACCGGCCTTGGGGGCTTGTTCGAGGGGCTTGTTGGCAGATGAGGAAATGTGGAAGGAGCGGAACGAGTTCATGAGGTCGGTCACTGCCGAATAAGTTAGTAAGTTTTGCGCTAAAACGAGGAATCATTGACTTACAAGCTGCTGTGCCAGTTCCAATCTCCTGAATCTTGATGCGTGCGTTTGTGGAGTCGATGTTAGTGACCACAACATCTCTGTAGTCCTTGCGGCGCTCGACAGGAGCATCGCCGTTCTGACCGGCAGCACTTGCAGAAGCATCGTACACCTCGCCCTCCTCGGCAACGTCCTTTGAAGGGTCCCAGTCGTGCCACATGCCACGTCTGGCCTCCTTTGCCCTTTGCTCGGCAGCGAAGAGCTCGTTTGCGTTGCCCGACTTCTCTGCACTATAGGCGTGGACCGAAGCAAGACCCTCCTCGACGAGCAGCTTAGCAAAGCTCTCACGGTTGATGTACAGCTGACCAATGAAGCCTCCAACCTTGTCAGTACCCTCAACGTCAATCTCGACATCGCGTTGCTGGCATCTGCGGTTTGCGAACTCATGAGCCTCTTGACCGAAAGGCTCGCCCTTCTCGCTGGGGTTGCGAGCGGAGCGAGGTGCGCTGATACCGGACAGAACAAAAGTGAGCTTGGCGTTCTCGCGAGGAACCAAGACGGTAAATCTACTCCCGCTCTTGACAAAGTCGACAACAGCAGGAACCTTCCTTTGGCGCGACAGAAGAGTGAGTTGACGCTTGGCCTGGTCGACGGAAGCGCTGTAGTCGACATATTCGGTCTTCTTTGGGGGCTTGGGATTCCACATTCCCTTGCCAGCACTCTGTGCAGCCTCCTCGGCGGCAAGAAGCTCATCGTAGATAGGCGAACGATCAGTATCATCCATGCGGTGTCTGATGACGGAGGCGTATCCCTGCTCAACGAGCTGAAGACCCACGTTCTCGTCGTTCAAGGTGACAGTGGCCATCTCGCGCTCATCGAAGCCTTCAGTGGCTGGTCGCTTGCCATCGATGGTAACCTTGACGTGCTTTCCGATCAGACGCTTGCGCAAGAACTCCTTAGCCTCAGCACCAAAGGGTGATTGCTTGGGGTCTGAAGGCTTGGGTTGGCGAACACTGCTGAGGTTGACACGCTTCTCGGCTCCAGCCTTGTTGCGCAAGTAGAGAGTATCGGCAGAGAAAACACGGCTGACGGTAGCTTCAATTTGACCAGTACCAGCAGATCTTTGCGAGACGTGACCTTCGAACAGACCAAGCTTGTTATCCCTGGCGTGACGTTCGGCCTGTCTCAGCTTGGCCATCTCGGAACCAAGCCATGTCGAGTGGTGGTCGGTGCAGCGAGCGAGACCCGCCTTGAGGAGGAATTCGGCGATGCTACCCATGGGGTGTCTGACCTCTCCGACCAGGAGGTTGTTGGGAGAAACACCAAGGATGCGTACTTGGACACCACGCTGCAGCAGTCTCTCCTCGACGAAGCGGTGTGCCTCGGTACCGAAGGGCTCTGCGGGTTGCTCTGACTGGTCCGAAGGGTTGATTCGCTTGGTAGCAGGAGCGCGGACACCGGCGAGCAAGACGATGGTCTGAGTGTGCTTTGTGGGCTGGACCAACATGCGGCAGATGAGACGGTCTGCACTCAGAACACGTTCGACGATGGCGTCAATGGGTTGACCCTTGTAAGCTTCTGCGAAGGCCCTTGGGTCTGACAGGTCGTGAACGTTGTCGATGCGTTGTTGGTTGGAGTTCCAGATGCCCTTCTCGTCGACCTTGGCGTGGCTCTCGAGGGCCTGCAACCTCTCGAGTAGCTCGGTGCCTTGTGGTGTGTCCTCCTTTTTACCAGCGTCATCTCTCAGCTTGACCAAGCCCTCACGTACAACGAGGTCGAGCAGATGTTGGCCGCTCTGCAGGATAATGACACCGTAGTCGCGAGGTGAAGGCGTGGGGACATTGTAGAGGACGCTGAATCGAACAACCTTGCCGACGCAGAGCTTGCGGACAAAGTCTCTGGACTCGAAAGCACCAGGTTCGTCGCCCTCTCTGCGTATCCTAGGAGCACTGACAAAGGCCAAGCTCAGGGTGCGTTCTTGAGAAGGATTCTTGATGTTGTGGAGAACGAGGGTATCGCCAGAGAGCACGCTCTTGACCTTAGCCTCCATGAGAGCCATGATGAAGTGGTGATGGGTGGTTGCAAAGATATATAGATTGGGGCTGTTGGCGAATTGGATCAGTAGATGTTTTGGAGAAGATTGAGTGGCAAGTTGAGAAGAGCAGTGTGGACTGTGGCCAGGACTTCGAGGGGTCTCGTGCTCACCAGTGGGGTGATCGCAAGCAGCAGAATGCAACCTAGTAAAGAATCAATGCCTTGTGTCGAGGCCTAGTCTTGCAGAAGAGCAGCTGTACAGGATAAAGCAATTGCTCGATGAACGGAAAGCAGTGATATACACAACTCGGAGGGTTCAAGGAGGCCGAGAAACATCGAGACAGCTGGCGCATGTGGGGTGAGTGAGAGAGCTCCGACAAAGTCAGTGCGCCGCTAATTCGAGACCCCTTCATCTTCGCTGTTCCCTGCCCTTCGATCATTCCATCACATCCCAGATAGTAAGAGCGTGTGGTGTGAGTCGATCAACGCTTCCGGAATCAAGGAGTTTGAGTTTGTTGTTGTCAGAGTAAAAGTTGAACAGGCACAGCAAACGTGTACAAGGCAACACACGTCGAGAAGCATATGCATTGTCACCGCGAGCGAAGCCTAGGATTCAGCATATTCATTCAGGCACACACCGCTACACATGAAGAACAAGCAAGAACTTCTATAGTCATTGTTTCTTTGATTGATCATCATCTGTACAATTCCAAAAGCACGTCGAGGACGGCCATTCCAATACTACTACTCATTCCTCGTGTTCAGGACATTATAGACGTATAGCTTACGAAGCAATACCAATGACACCTGTATATCATATCAGCATGTGTTCAACCTAGATCCAGGTCAAAGCGGAAGACTTACCGCAAGCAGGGCGGGGACCAGCGTTACCAGTCTTCTTGCTCTCCTCGTGGCCACCCTTACCGAGGTCGTCGGTGCCAGCGTGAACAACAATGGTGCGGCCGAGGACGCTCTCGGGACCGATCAGCTTGATGAGCTTGTCGCTGACAGAGCCCTTGGCATTGCCCTGGCCGTCGGTCTTGAAGTTGCCCAAGTCACCGACGTGGCGCTCCTCATCCTCGGGGGCACCGTGGGTCTTGCCGTGGGGGTTGACTGCCATGTATGAGCGTCTGATCTTTCTGATATCACTTTGTCGAGCAAAGGGACTCACAGTGAGGGCCGGCGGAGGTGCAGCCGTTGGTGTTGTCACCAAAGGCGTGAACGTGCATACCACGCTCAGCGTTGGCATCGTGGCCGGTGATGTCCCATGAGATGGTGGTCTCGGCACCCTCAGAGGCCTGCTCGAAGGTAACGGTACCGGAGACCTTGGAGTCTCCACGGAGGACGGCAACTGCAAGTCTTGTCGTTAGCCTCTGTTGAGCTTGCCGTAATACACAGCGAGTTCCGAGCTCTGATCGTCGAGCCTGTTGGCTGTAGAACCAAAGGTAGCATGCGTGCAGATCCTAGGACGAGACACCACAGCTTCTTCAAGGCCATTGGACAGCCGTTGGCTTCCAAGGCCACCTTGGTGGACAAGATATGCGTGGAAGCTGCTCTTCCTCTTTGCCTGACCCCGCTTTTGCTACTGCGAGCTCGAAACAGGCCGAGTAGAGGACTTGACTCCCCTCGTGTGTCTAAACGTACCTGCTTTGACCATTTTGATTGATTTGAAGCTGTGTTTTTGGCTTTGTATCAAGAGTTGGGGTTGGAGGTTGAAGATAGGTTGCAAGCGGAAGGCGTGCTAATCGAATGCCAAGTCCGCAGCCCCGCTCCTACCTCGTCAGAGAGCTCCACGACCCTTGCACACGGCTCCTTGCTAAGTCCGGTGCTTCAGAGGTTCGTCAGCATTCGCTCGGCTTCTGAGGTAGATACGTCAGCCAAACAATCGGCAAACAAATCAGTTTTCCGCATCGCTAGCTGAGAGCGATGGGACAGACCCAATTGTCCGCTTTTCATTGTTTGTCACATCACATGAAAGGAAGCTCGAATTGATAGAATCGACAACGGGGTATTTATTTTTGTTGTACGTGAAAAAGAAAAGTCATGTCGCGGCAGTCGTCATAATGCACATCGCCCAAGCCATCGTCATATTAAAAAATTTAAGCCTTCTGGAGCTTCTCCTTGAGGATATCCTTGAGGGTGACGGCGTCAGCAGCGAACTTGCTGATACCCTCGCTGAGCTTGTGAACGGCCATGGGGTCCTCGTTGAAGTCGAAGCGGAAGAGGGGCTCGTCGTTGAGGTATGACTTCTTCTCGAGGTCGAGCTTGCTCGATTCGGAAGCGATGAGCTTCTGAGGGACCTCGTCCTTGCTGTTGTACAGCTCCTCGAGGAGGTTGGGCTTCAAAGCTTGTTAGAATGTGAGGTCCTAAATATTCTGTGGTTCTGATAACTTACGGAGATAGTGAGGTAGTCGCATCCGGCGAGCTCGGTGATCTCACCAACGTTTCTGAACGAAGCGCCCATGACGATGGTCTTGTAGCCGAACTTCTTGTAGTAGTTGTAGATCTCAACAACGGACTTGACACCGGGGTCCTCCTCCTTCTTGTACTCCTTCTTGTGGGTGGCCTTGTACCAGTCAAGGATACGGCCAACGAAGGGAGAGATGAGGAAAGCACCGGCCTCAGCGGCAGCGATGGCCTGGACAGGCGAGAACATCAAGGTCAGGTTGGTGTTAATGTCGTACTTGGACTGCAGAATGTGGGCAGCCTTGATACCCTCGTAGGTCGAGGCAATCTTGATGAGAATGCGGTCCTTCTCGATACCGGCCTCCTTGTAGAGCTGTCATAACGTTAGTCAAATTTGCATGGAAAGTTTACGCTGCAGCTTGACGCACCTCGATGATACGGAGGGCCTTCTTGACACTGGCCTCAGTGTCGAAGGAGAATCTGGCGTCAACCTCGGTGGAGACCTTGCCGGGGACAATCTTGAGAATCTCCTTGCCGAACTGGACGAGGAGAGCATCAAGAACAGCATCGACCTGGTCGTCGATGCTCTTGCCGTCAGAGTGCTCCTTGCCGTAGGCGACGGCGTTGTCAATGAGCTTGGCATAGTCGGCCTTCTTGGAGGCAGCCAGGATCAGGGAAGGGTTGGTGGTAGCATCCTGAGGCTTGTACTTGTCAATGGTAGCAAAGTCACCAGAGTCGCAAACGACAACCTTGGGAGATTGTTAGCTATACGTCGGCAATTGACCCCTTTGGAGGGGTACTAGCTGTCAGAACATACGGTGCCAGTGGCCTTGAGCTGATCGAGAGAGCTAGACATGATGTGATATAAGTGAGGAGGATGGGATTGGAGCCTAGAGAACAGAGATGTGTGTAGGAGAGTAGGAAAGGAGATCAAGTTTCAATTGTTGTTGGGAGAAATAAAAGCACCCAGCGAGCCCCGCGCTTATGTCAATCAGACCCAACTCTCACCAAAAGGCCACCTGAGGGCAAGGGTCACTGAGCACCCGCCACCCTAGTTCCGTCACTTTCTGCCTTCGAGCCAGTTCTTCCGAGCTTTCACGTGGCCAGGCTAAATACGCCGAGCGCTCCGAAACTTGGGTTTGCGTCTCGCATTTCCTTGGAGATCGCCCGCCGGGACCGCTTGCTTGACTCACAAAACCGTTCCTGTTGTATCTCTCGCTCGAGCTTTTGCAGTAGGACCGAGCGAGGTGAGCGGTGGACCGACATCATCGCACGATGACGATGGTGCTCTCATCGAGACGTCGCACAGCACTCGAGATCACTTGCACATTTTCGATGGGTAATGCATTTTTTCGAGGCAAAGTTCTTTGTTTCTTCTCTATCTGATTATGGCTGAAGCCTTCTATTGGTCTTCATCCTTTATCGGACCACTGCATGCCGAATCATCATTAGCCGCCGGTAGACGGGCTTTGGCAGAGAGGCTGCGAGGCACGGCCTCTTTCATGCTCTTAGCCGACCTCGCCGGTCGACCATCTCCGCTCGGCTTCTGCAATAATTGCGTCTTATCCACGCTCTGTCTTTCGTCCTCCATCCGACAGGAGTCTACAATTTTTCAGACTGCTGACTCTTTGTCGTCAATGTAGAAAACGCCTTCTGCACATACGAATTCTGACAAGTCGTCAGGCACTGGCAAGTATTGACGACCGCTGTATGCGAGTCGTAATTGTGTCGTGATATATGTCGTTCGCCCCTGCGATTGCGCAGACGGGTGACAAGAACATCAGGTCAGCAGCCTATGAGATCAAAGTCTCGATCGCTGGACCCTTTTCACATCAATCCAAGTATGTTAGAGGGATCTTTCAAGAAGTCTCTTCGGTGTTGGGCAACGCGTGTAGCCACAGCCTCGGTTTCGAGGTTGCCGTCATCCCTCATTTGTTGTAGGATGTCTCTCAAGCCTTGCCTGTATTCAGCGTCTTTGCCAGGATTGCCGCTCATGCCCATTTGGAGAAGAAGAGTATCGTCTGCAATGTCAGTGTCCTAAGTCAGCTACCGCACGTACAATATCAGAACGCGTTATAGGGTGGTGGACCATCTCGTGCCAAGCATGCGTGGTCGCCGATTGGAAGCAAAAGGTCGGAAGATTGGTGAAGGCATGAACAAAAGAAATTCAGAAGGTCGCGCCCTCAGACGCACCGGACACGGCCATGTCACTGAAGTGTTGATACTCGCAAGAGCTGTCGTTGCAGACACCAGATGCAACTTCAAAGCGGCAGAGCTCCTTGTTGGGATCAATCTGATGACTATAAGTCAACGAACGATACCCACTAGGTACTTCATGAGGATAATCGGGATGGTAACGGTAGCCCTTGAAGTTCTTGAGCAGAGACTCGTATGGTTTGAAAGTTGTGCCATCTGAAGGGGCACTGTCGACCTGCACCATTGTCAGCACACGCTGACCTTTGTTCGTCAAACTTACCGTTTCAGAGACGCCTAATTGTTGCTCAGCAGCTGGCTGTAGTTCGGGAGCTAGATCGTCAGCAAGACTCAATCTGGCGTTGTTACCAGACTGAGATGGAGGCAACGAAGAAACGGGAACAGCTGCAGGCTCGGGTGAATAATCCTCGGAAGACGCGTCCGAGGATTCAAGGTCCATGCGGTCTTCGTCTTCGTCCATATTCTCGTCGTCGTCTTCATCAGCCGATGCGTCCGAAGCCGAAATGTCATCCGCTGATGTACCGGTAGGAGCAACCCTTTTCTGCTCTTTCGAAGCATTCGCAACGTTGCTTGCATCGTCTTCGCTCTCATCCTCAGAGTCTGTCGAGATGTCCATTTCATCATCGCTACTGCTGTCAGATGTAGCAGAACTTGGCTCGGGTGACGGCGAGGGAGGTAGCTTGGGCTCAAACTTCGACATCTGGATAGTAACTTTGCGGTTCTGTAGCTGGCATCCGCTTAGCTGATCGATCGCAGCAACAGCTTGCGAGAGAGGGAGTTGAACAAAGCCATGGCCTGTAGCTTTATTGACGACCGCGCGCCGTGGGAGATGAACACGTTTGCTGATTTCCGTTCAAGTTAGCTAGCACTTCTTTGTATCCTCCATCAACCCTGTGAGACTTACACATCGAATGTCTCAAAGAACGAGCGGAGAGAATCATCGGTCACAGAGTACGGTAGGTTCCTGATGAATAGCCATGCCAGTTTATCCTGGGATTCGACAACCTCAGCCTCAGCGCTCGCGGGTTTGCTGACGCTTTCGGCATTCCCAGATCTTGACTCGACGCCGTCAGATGCGCCTGTCTCCATGTTGTTGTTGGACTCTAAACCTTCTTCGTCATCGTCCTCAGATTCTGAGCTCTCAGACATGCTCGAGCCTGAATCCAAATCAGAGCTGGATTCGTCAGCTTGAGGCCTGTCCTGCTCTACTTTGGCACGATCGGCACGGATGTCGTCGAGGAATCTTGCACGACCAGGACTGGACGTTGTCGTATCTCTGTTTCTCCTGGAAGATTCTGGTTGATGCACCGTCGCTGTATCATCTGCCGAGCTGTCTGAATCGCTTTCACTCATAGAAACATCCATATCGTCAACTTCAGCCGGTTTCGTGACCGAAAAGTTGTTGTCTGCACGAGCCCCGTTCGATACGGACTCGGCAGTTTTCGAATCTTGAAGGTCTTCGATCTCCTGCTTCTTAGCTTCCATCTCGGATTGTGTCATTCCTTCAGTGTCGACATCCAGGCCCTCAAGTTCTTCACGAAGCTTCTGTTGGTTTTCCATATCTTGATCGTATTGCCTCTGCATGTCGGCCATCTGTTTCTGCATCTCAAGGATTCTAGCCTTTTGGTTGTCAATATCGGCATTACGTGCAGTCAAAGCAGCCTTCAGTTCGGTGCGCCGATCGGTGGGTTCCTTAGACCGACTTGTGGCCGACGTAGGTGCATTTGGTGCTGCGGCACTAGGGGTAGGAAGTGCGGACATCTTTTCAGAGGTTGTGAGCATCTGCGAAGGAGTCTGCGGCTGACTTTCAGTGCGGCTAGCCTTGGCCTTTAGCGCGGCTTTGCGCTTCTCGTACTCTTGTATCCTTTGATTGAGGGATGTTATTTCCAGCTCTTTACGCCTCAGCTCTTCAGCGTCGCTTGCTACTCCGGGTGTTCCCAGGGGTGGTGTAAAGATGCCCGACTGTTTCTGGAATGCTGCCGAGCGCTGAGGGAAGTCTCGCAGAGCAGGCAGATCGGAGATGTTCTTGTTACGCTGGCCTGTAAGAGCCATGCTGGCATTGACCGAGGGCTTTGTACTGTTCAGCTCATCATCGTCATCATCAGATGTGTCTTCATCATCGCTGACCTGAATGATCATCGCAGCATCAAAACTGTTCTGCCTACTCTTCCCGAACGGCCTCTTAAAAGGGTGATGGTCGGGAACGTTCTGTGCTTCATTGAGGTCGGATGCAACAGGACGTTTTCTGATCATGTGTACAGACGATGTAACAGTAGGCTGAGGTGTTACGTCTTTCGACGAACCTGCCGAAGCGCTAGAAGTAGACGGCGCAGTAGAGATTGCAGATTGAACCTGGAGCTGAGGCTGTGGAGATTTCGCTACTGAAGTTGACATGCGTAAGCCAGGTATCAAACTTGCATTTGCCAGCTGAGGGAATGCCTGCGGAGCGCCGGAGAAAGAGCCGGTGGGTAGTGGCGGTGTAGTCTTGAGTTGAGGTTGACCTGTAGTGGGCAGAGGACCGGGAGTCGAGGAACCAGAAGGTGTGTTATTGGCCAAACGACGCTGAGTCGCCTTCAATGCCTCCATCTTTTTGCGGATCAACTCTGTGGTTTGAGATTGCTTGGTGTTCGTCGGAACCGACGAAGAAACGGCATTTTGCACATGGTCGGTCTTGGGTTGGACTGGAGTAGGTATCCTGACTGGTGTAGGTGCATCTTCGGTCTTAGCCGGAGGTGGCGTTATAGATTTCGAAGGCAGCACGGGACCCGTGGAGGGCGCGGCTTCAGCTTTCCTGTTCTTTGCGGCTTGCAAGCGTGCCAGATAATCTTGACGGCTCACGGGTGCCGCTTGCTTGATTGGAATAGCGGGTTTGGTCTCCTTGGCGGGAACTACAACAGAAGGCTGATGGGATGCTGCACTTGTAGTCTTTACAGGCACAGTCTCTGCGGCCGACGCCTGTGCACTGAGTACTTGTGGTGAGGAGACAGGGATTTGCAACTCTTGATAGACTTGACGAAGCAGGTTCTCCTCAAAACCCTCACGGACGAATTCGTCGAAGGTAAAGCCTTCTTGGTGCAATGCAGCAATGAAAGGCAAGACAGCTTCTCTCTTCTGTTGTACCGAGGGCTGACTTACATCAGAGGTATTCTTTGTGGGAGTGGACGAGGGGCTGGGCTGAGGAGCAGCGCGGTGGGCTAGCTGAGATGCACGCGACTTGCGCTTCTTTGAAGTGGGCGCGGACGGTACACGGTTGACGTGTTGCGAGGCATCGCTGACTTCGCCCTCTTCGCGATCGATGTCCATGTGGGAAGGAACAGCGGTTGGTACTGGCTGATGCTGACCGAAAGCAGCGTGCGTTGGAACAGGAGGTGGGAAGGGCACAGGCGCGAAGGGTGCAGCCGACTGGTAAGACTGCGGCGGTGGAGGCGGCGGCGGAGGAGGAGGAGGAGGAGGAGGAAAAGGGAAAGTGCCAGCTTGAAGATGGCCTAATAATGCAGCCATCTGCTGAGGAGTAATGTTCAGAGCCTGCAGCTCTGGCGGTAGAGCCATGGTCTGTCCTGTTGTCGACGGAGGAAGAGGCGGCGGTGGAGGATAGTTGGAAGGATGATTATATGGCGAACCAGCGGCTGGAGGCCATGGAGGAAAATGCGCCATGGAGCGCGCCGTGTCTTGTCGTCGCGTGAAAGGCAAGCACGCAGGTACAGTATGCGTGCGCTCGAGTTGGGAAAGCGCGATGATATTCACGTAGGGGTTTCAGTACCGGCCAGCTAGACGCGATGCACAGGTCTGTTTATCCAAGCGCGCCAGGAGCCAGAGACTGTATCTACTTGCTCTTTCGCGGTGGACAGTGAGCAGAACCAGACAGAAAGTGACGACGCTACAAATTGTCAAATTGGGTCGAAGCAGTGTGAGTGGCCTGGAGTTTCAAACGTCCCGCGCAAAACGAGCGCGGGCCGTCTGTTTATCGTCGACTAGCGTTTGTTGACAAAACACCTGCATCCTTCCCATGCAACCAACATTGCGACCGCAGAGACTCTCCTATACCGCCTGCAGTGCATGTGCCTGTACATACTATCCTAGTTCCTGGAAATGCCGCTTTGAGAGCCCGCCATTGCTCACACCACACGCCCATATGTCATCCTAGGGACCATCAACACCATCGCACTATACTAATCAAACAGTGACCACCCCACATGGCTATAGCCACTCCTACAGGGAGCCAGCGCTGGCGAGACACCCCGAATACCGCTGCCAATGCCACCCCTTCTCCCGGTCCGCCTCCAGGCCATACTCGATCTCGCTCCTCCGTCTTACCGCCTCCAATGTCTCCGCCCACGGCCAACGGACACGCACGTCACCAATCATTTGCAGAGCTCGGCTTCGGCTCTCTAGAACGCGGAGTCTCACGGAGAGGTTCAATCAAGCCTCCTCCGACAGGCACCTTCGCTCCAAAGTTCATCAAAGCAGAAGGTCTGGACGGCGCCGAAGAAAAAGTTGGAGGCATAGAGGGCGAAAACGACTTTTCGGGCAAGCGTTATGTCTGGGTTAAGGATACTGAACAGGCCTTTGTCCGCGGCTGGGTTCTTGAGGATCTGGCCGATGGCCAACTGCGAGTCCAATGTGACGACGGCAGCGTATGTGCCATCCCACCGTCTCCGAATGGCGCCTGCTGACACAATCAAGCAACGCGATGTAGACTCGGAGTCTGTCGACAAGGTCAACCCTGCCAAATTCGACAAGGCCGATGACATGGCTGAACTGACCCACCTGAACGAAGCCTCAGTCGTGCACAACCTGCACATGCGCTACCAAGCCGACCTCATCTACACCTACTCTGGTCTCTTCTTGGTCACCATCAACCCATACTGCCCCCTTCCCATCTACGGCCGCGACTATGTCAACATGTACAGAGGCAGAAGTCGCGAAGACACCAAACCACACATTTTCGCCATGGCCGACGAGGCCTTCAGGAACCTTGTGGACGAAGGCACAAATCAAAGCATCCTGGTCACAGGAGAGTCTGGTGCAGGAAAGACAGAAAACACAAAGAAAGTCATTCAGTATCTCGCCGCCGTGGCCACGTCTGACACCCCTCGCGCTAAGAACAACACACGACAG